TGTCTCTCTCTCTCTCTGTCTCTCTCTCTCTCTCTCTCTCTCTCCCGGCCTCTCCCTCTCCAGCACGAAGCCTCGAAAACCAAAACTCTAGCCGCCTAAACCCCAAACCCCCAAACCCCACAAACCATAAGCCTTAAAGCCTTCAAACCCTAACCCGAGATCCGAAAGGTTGTGGGGGAAGTAACCAAGAATATGTACACATATGTGTATATACACATATAATATATATATATATATATATATACAAACATACGTCTACACACACAAACACACCACGGCTGATGCTTATAAGGAGGCCCCTGCCTGGAATAATGTTTGGCTGTGAATCATCATATAGTTTACACAGTGTGTGCTAAATTTATCATATAGTGCACACACACACACACACTTTTGTAAATACATATGCAGACGTTTCTGTGCATGGACATGTACATTATATATACATATATATATATAGGAAATCATGCATGCACATCTACATGTGGAGCTTTATGCAGTATTTTGCAGCAGTTTTTTTGGCCAGGAGCCAGTAATTCGTAGCTCTGAAGGAGCTTGCCTAGCTTTTGTCCTTCGAGGCCAGCAACAGCCATGGCCCCAAAAGGAAAGAGTGCCCCCAAAGGGATTCTGAAAAGCCCGAAGGTGGTGAAGAAGCCGGCCTTGAAAAAAGGTCAGGGGAAGTTCAAGAAGTTGGCCTTGACAAAAGGTGCTTTGAAGAAGCTTCAGGCGATGAAGCTGGAGGAGAAAGTGCAGGCCATCACCGACAGGAACGACGACGTAGAGGAGGCCGGCAAGGAGCTGCAGCTAGTCCTCACCAAACAGGAGCACAGCCGTGCTTGGAGTTCCCACCAGACGTCTCTCAAGCGAGACCCGGAAGGCAAGCAGGAGTACGAGGAGGCCAGCAAGGCTGGCAAGGGCCTCTTGACCGCGATGTTTCTCTTGAAAAAGGGGTCGCCAAAGTTTGTGCACGTGGAGGCCAGGAGCTCGCAGGGTTCCAAGTTGGAGAAGAAGGAGGAATGGTTCTCAGAGAAAATCGCCATCGACCGCTTCGGATGGGAGGAGTTCCAGCTCCATGTCCAGTCAGGACGGCTGGGCTGGAGGCAGGACCCCTTCACTCCGTCGGTGTACCAGTACACCGACCGTGGCGATGTTCAGCGGACCACCACTGTGAAGACTTCCAAAGCCTGGACCATGGGCCAAGAAAGGAATGCCGAGGATGACGATCTCGAAGAGTTCGCCAAGTTTTTCGGCATGGACTTGCAGACCCAGCTCACCAACACAGAGCACTGGGGGAGCAAGGGCACCGTCGCTGCCAAAGGCAAAAGTGCCGGCAAGGGGAAGTCCTTGACAAAAGGAAAAGGAGGCAACCAGCTTCTGGCTTTGGAGGATGGGACTGCCGAAGGCCAGGAAGTCGCCCCTGACACTTCCAAGGTGCTGGCAAAGGCCCGGACCTGCCGAAACACTCTGCAGGCGGCGGTGGACGATCTGGACCAGGCCTTCAAGGAGGCTTGCACTGCCAAGCGACTCACCAAGACCGGCAAAGACGAGGCCCTGGAGCTCAAGGACAGCTGCCGGGTCGTGCAGGAGCAGCTGAAGGCCCTACTCATGAAGAAGACTCCGGATTGGGAAGAGGCTAAGCAAGTCATCCTGCAGGGTGCTGAGAAAGTAAAAAAGGCCCGGAGCGAAACTCGGGAGCTAAGGCAGCTGGCCAACAAGGCGGCCTCCACCAACAGCAGAGGCTCCCGGAAGTGAGAGCTTCAGGCTTCAGGGTGGATCCTTGAACAAAGGATCTGCCACAGGCACCTTGGGCTATAAAAGGTGCCTGGTAGGTCGCCCCTTCTTTCATCAAAGGCGGCCTTTGCGACCTTGCTAAAAGGTCCAGCCAAAACTCGCTGGCAAGTTTTGCCACAAGGTTTCAGCACCTTGTAAAAAGGTGCTTCTGACCTTGGTGAGGGGCTTCTTTTCACTCGTAGTTTTTCAAGCCACCCGGTGTGCCGGAAACACAGTTTAAAGCGCTACCCTAAACCCTAAACCCCGAAAGCCAGTCTCGCAGCAAAAGCGCGGAAACTGCAAGCTGAACCCCTGAAAGCCCTGAGGCCAAACACTAGCTTTAGTTTTACTGTCCCTCCCAGGAAGGCCGTCGCTTCAAACTTCAAGCCCCCCCACGTGCTAAAGAAACAAGCAGAACAACACCTAGGGCTTGAAGTTTTGGAACCCGGCAGCTGCACTCAGCGGAAAAAGATGAAGGAGGCATTTGCAAAGCTTTCCGGAATGAGGTACTTTCTTTCGCACCAAGCTTGAAACTCAGCTTGATCACTATCGTGTTGATGATGTGGGACAAATCTTAGCCGGCAAGAGCCCGCTTAAACTTGGGTGTGTAGATGTAGAGAATAAGTGATAATGGTTGTGTGTATGTGTAGACTAACACAAGCAGTTATGTATGTGCACAGTGTGTAAACTGTGTACAAATTTACCTTATACATGCCTTTCTCATGTCGTGTGTTTCTAATCTTAGCAATGAAACTTGGAAGGGAGTCGTATAGTTGTCATCACTACATATAGTAGAATTTTGTAGAGATGCCATGGTTTGGGCTTGCTCCTTGTCAAAAGGATCATGGCTGCAAGCTCGTCTCGTGATGGGCCCAAAACAAAGAGGCTTCGAGGATGGCAATGGGAAATGGAGAAAGCAGATGGGCAGCCTTGTCAAAAGGCAGAGGAAGCCCGCGACAGTGCCCTGTGCGAGCGACTGTTACAGCTCTGGTCACATGGTCTCTTGTCAGCTCACCTCGTGGCCGAGCTGAGTCGACTTGCGATGCTCGACGGAGCCAGTGGGGAGGGCTTGATGGACTTGGCCCGAGCGGGCACGTTCGGAGAAAACCCTGGCAATTCAACAAGGGACATTTTGACAAAATTTTGTCCCCAAGTGCAGCTGTGCCAGCCCCTCGCCATCAATGTGAAAGCGAGAGACCCCAAAACCACAAAGCCTGTATCAGCAACGTGCCATTTGTTCCTTCCCCACTTGCTCTTCGCAGACTTGGGCAACAACTACCGAGAACAATTCAGACAACTCTTCGGGGCAGACGAGCTTGCCTGCTTTTGGCAGCAAGTTGAAAAGAAGCAAGACCACAGACTCGTCGCTCCTCTGGCCTTTGGCAAAAAGGTCAAGGACAAGAAATGGACCATTCCCCTTTTCTTTCACGGGGACGCTGTTGAGTTTCAGTGTCGCGACAGTTTGATGGTCTGGAGCTGGGGTGGGGTGCTAGCTTCGGTGTTTTCCAGCACTGACACCCACCTTTTGCTGTGCTCATGGCCGAAGTCATGCACAGCGAAAGAGACGTGGACGCCTGTGGAGAAATGGGTGCAGTGGTCTTTTGCTGCCTTGAAAAAAGGCAGACATCCAGAAACAGCACCAGATGGGGGGCCCTTGCCAAAAGGGTCCCCCATGGCAGACCTGGCGGGGCAGAGGCTCATACCGGGAACCAGCTTCAGAGCGGTCCTTTGGTGCATACAGGGGGATGCAGACTTTTACAGCAACTGCCTCGGCCTGCCCCACTGGCGGTCCGAGAAACCGTGCTTTGGCTGTGACTGCAGGCAGCCAGTCTACAAGGGCAGGCCTTGTGCAAAAGGCAAATCGGTCAAGCTGCTTCGGGAAAAGGACCAAAGGTTCAAGTACGTCAACACCGACGAGGCTCTGGCAAACCCCCGCTCAACCCACAGCCTTTTCAAAATACCAGGTGTCTCCACGACCTTGGTCCGACACGACGCCCTTCACGTCCTCTGGAACCATGGAGTGGGCTCTCATCTCCTCGGCTCGATCTTCCACTATTTGTGCTTCTTCGATGGCCGAGGACGACAGAGAGTCTCAGCCACCGACAGACTCGCTATCGTGTTCCGCGAAGTGCAGGAGATGTACACAGCCAGCCAAACGGAAGTGCGGCTAACAAACCTGAGGATCTCAATGTTTACAGACGTCCGGTCTCCGCACAAGAAGTATCCCGCACTCGCATGCAAAGCAGCCGAACTTAAGCATCTTGCTCCTGTGGTCCTTGGAGTGCTTCGGAGCCTCTTAGACGGCTCTGACAACATTCATGGGGTCATGATCGATTGTTTGCAGAGCTTCTGCGAGATCGGTGAGCTGTTTGACACGAGTGGCATGTTCCTCACAGACGAGGAGCATGCGGAGCTCATGAACCTTGACAAAAGGTTCTTCAACAGCTATCACGACCTTCATGAGTGGGCCAAGTCTCTGGACAAGAAACTGTTCAACAAAGTTTCGAAGCTGCACAGCATGCATCACATGCTGCTTGATGCTTTCTTTCTCAACCCAAGGTATCATTGGTGTTTTCGTGCAGAGGACTTTGTTGGAGCAGTTTCAAGGCTGGGGCACTCTGTGTCGTTTGGACTCAAAGCAACAAGAATATCAGACAAGCTTTGTCAGAAATACAGAATCCTACTTCATTTACACCTTTCAAAGCCCGGCTTTGCCATGAAGGACGACTTCTGACATCCTTGCCCAAAGGATGTTGCACGGACCCGTGATCCTTGCTAAAAGGATCCGACCTTGAGAAAAGGTGAGCTCTGTTTCACAATTGGGCAGCTGCTCTGCCTTGTATGTATACAGTGTGCTTAGAGACCTTACAGTCCTCTTAGCCCAAGACCTACACCTGCATCATGAAAGTTTAACCCTACACCCTATATGGTTTAAACGAAGGCGAGCATACTCTTCAAAGGCGACATGCAGAAACAAAGGTGCGAACTCTTCATGTTTAAGCTTGCTTTTCTGTTGATTTGATCGTTTCCTAACCTATGAAAATATATTGATTTGATGGCTCAGATATATACTTTTTTCGTTTGATTTATATATTGGTTTTGAGTCTCCTGCTGAGGCGCTTCGAATCAATGAAAAAATATATGATTTGACACCAAAATCAATACGCCTTCAGAATTATTGATTAGAATCAATAACCGATGCCCAGGGGTTGCGAACTCCTGAAGTTTCCTTCTCAAGCTTTCAACATCCCTGGCCCAGAGTAATCCATCATCCATAAAAAGAGAGTCCTCGCAGGGGAGGTCGGGAAAGAGAGTAGGTCTGTCTTGCCAACGATAGCGGCTCGAAGCTTCGCCCAACGCCTGCTCCATAATATAGGAAAACAGGAGTGGGGATTCGGTCGCCCCTTGTTTGATACCACTGAACATCCGAAACGTAGACGAACCCCACACTGTCTGTAGCGTTGCCTCCGTACTACAGAGCAGATTTCTAAGGCATCTGCATTCAGGTGTGTCGCCTAACAGCTGCTCCAGCTTATGAATGAGCTTGGTCCGACTGAGCGAATCGAACGCCTTGGAGACGTCAATCTGGGATATCACAAGACCCTGTTTCCACTCTTTCTCTAACTGCAATAGACGGTATATGGCAAAGATGACATCTGAGCATTGACGCTGCCCTCCCGCACATTGAGCGTGACTAGTGTAGGCAAAACGATGCGATACCCTGTTCAGCACAAGCCTGGAGAAGAGCTTGGAGGCCGAACTGCCCAGGGCAATTGGTCTCAGATCCGACGGAGAAGCAGGTTGGTCAGTTTTTGGGAGGACGATCAGCAAGGGTTGGTTCCATGCTGGCGGAATTACCTGTGTGCATAACACACGATTCATAAACTCCAGCAAGTGAGATTGTCCACCTTCAATGTTGATCACCCCTTCAAGAAGCTCCTTCGAAGTGAGGTCACGCCCAACCGACTTTCCCCCTTTAAGCTGGGATAAGGCTGTTCGGAGTTCTTCAACCGTGAAAGCCTGAACCTCCTGGTCCGCGTTGTATTTCGGCTCAATGTCCTGGCCCTTATAGAGCGCACTTAGGTGATCATGTACCGTGGCATGCGGGTCCCTAGATTGCAGGTCGGCATACTCAATCTCCCATCCCTGTTTGGTGGCCACTTTGCTCTGCTGAAACGCCTTCCAGTCGCCCTGCAGAGCCCTGTCCTGACGTGCCTTCTCCCACTTCTGCCGCGCCGCACGGCGATAGGCGAGGGCCCTTTTCCAAGCCTCCCGGGTCCGCGAGATCCTCGCCTGCTGGAACATAAGGACAACGTGCTTGGGGTCCTTATAAGCCAAGCTCCTTCGTGGTTTCGTGCAAGTCCGAGCCAATCCCTCCAAAACCCCTTGGTCAATGTGCTCAATCTTGCTCGGGCCCCCTATCCAGACACGAGGCTTGGTCTGGCACCTCGCAACCACCTTCCCCTTTACGACCTTGAAGACTCCTTGCAGAAGCTCGTGGTCCGTCCCTATGCTGTAGCTTGAGTCCCTGTGAATGATCATGCCCTCATGTCTGAAGCGGGACGTCGCGAAGAGATCAATCTGTTTGCCTTCCCGACCCTCCTGTCTAGGTCTCGACGTAGGCAAAGCCACATAGGGGGACCTAGGTGGCACCAGGGAGAGGTCGTGCTTGGCAAACCTGTCCAGGAGGAGTAGAGCTTTGGCATCCCTCCCCGACGGCTGTAAGGTGCCTTCACCCTGAGTCCATGCCAGACCTGCGTTCGCATCCCCTTGCACCACAATTCTGTTCTTGCCTGCGGGCTTTTTCCGGAGGAAAGCATCCACCTGCGAAGCGAAGCAATCAACTGTACACCCCGGAGTGAAGTGAAAGGTAGCAAGCCACAGCTCGAAACCATCACAAAGTCGCCGAAGTTTGAACCAGGAGCCCTTGCCCGCCGGCACTCTTCGGAGGATAGACCACGCATCCTTGCAGAACATAACCCCCGTCCCTCTCCATTGATCCTTGTGTTGGTAGGAACAAACTGTCCAAGCATCCTGGTGCCACGTACTCCACCCATCCTGAACCCTTGGTACTTCTTGAAGAAGAAAAAGCTGACTCGTGTGTAATGGTTGCCCTGTTGAAAGACGAGCTGCTTCCGTGAGATTTCCCAGTTCAGCACCACCCACGTTCCATCCCAGTATCGAGAATTCTTGCTCAACATGGTTGTCGACCGATAGCGAGCCCTGATTCCGGGATCCCTGCAAAGTGCTCAAATTCATTCTCCCGCGCACGGCCGCTGTTTTAACAGCCTTGACGCCAGAGGAGGCGCCGTACCCTTCCGGGGCAGCACCCTGACAGGCATTCCTGGTCCCATGCACCTCGTGAGATCTTGCAGAAACATCCGCAGCACCCCAGTTAGCAAATGAATTCCCACTCCTTTCAAGCCGCTCCACATCATCTTGACAAGTGCGGAGCAAACCAAGGAGTTCGCCAAGATCCGGCTCCTGTCATCGGCGGTTGGCATCGAGTGCCCCCCTGAGCTTGTCAACCGGATGCCCTGATTCTTTTGCCAGTGCTCCCAAGTCAACCCACTGCGGCCCTGTGTCCTCTGATGGTATCGTGATCATCTCATGCGAATTCGCCCCGTTCCCTGGTTGTCTTGCCACGCTAGCGATCAAACTCTCCCCAAGCCAGGCCGATCCCGTGCTATACTCCAGATCAACTGACTGAGCAAGGTCGTCGGAGATGGCCCCCAGGGATCTCTTGATCCAGGAGCAGTGCCCTCCCATCTGGCGTTCCGCCCTCGTCTTACTGTATGAGCACCAGAGCTTTTTGCCAGCCGAAGTCCGGGCATCCGCAGAGTTAACGGTGGTAAGCACTTTGTGCATCCTGGCTTTCCTGGCGGCATCGGATTCCTGGAGGCGCAAGGGCATGTTGAGGAGTGCAAGGGATCTCCGCGGGCCAGTGGTGAAGACCGATTCATCGACCGAAGTGGTAAGCCCCAGCCGGGTGAGTGCCTCGGTGACTTCCATAACAATAGTCTGGCGTCGAGTGTCCCGTTCCCATCCGCCAAAGACGAGGGTCTGGCGCCTGCGCTCGTCATCAGGCTTGACAGAAGGCGGTCCCCGTTGGATGAGTGACTCGAGCTTGGCCAAGCGCTCCTGAACCCCCTCAACCGTGGTTGCAAGCCCCTTGGTAGCCTGCTCCATCCCTGCCATGCGGGCATTCTGACGTTCCTCAAGCGCGTTCACCAAACTCTCCGAGTGACTGTTGTTAGCTTGAAGGATCTTGCCCGCTTGCTCGTCCAACAAATCCCTGAGATCCCGAAGCGTAATGTTGGCGAGGCTCACTGAGTCATCCGAGGAGGTATCGTCACCCTTGGCTCCCCGTTTGGCCTTATTGGTGCCACTGACCCTGTGCTCACCCCCCCGCTTCTTGGCAGGACTGTCCCCATCAAGGTCAGGATCAAAGTCAGGTATGTTCAAACCCGGAGCCCCCAACTGCAGCCCTTTGGACATGGCCAGTCGCCTACCCGACAGGCTTCACACCGCGGCGACCAGGGCAGGTACCTCGGCCTTGAGCCAAAATGGCTAACCCTAGGGTTTAGGGTTTAGGGTTTTTTTTTTTTTTGAGAACCTTTTTCCGACCGCCAGGCGTCCGGAGAGCTCCAATGGAGCAGGCTTCTAACCTCCCACCTTCAGACGTCACCCTCGTGCTTCGTACAGTTTGACTCACCCCTCTTCTTCAGCCGGTCCATGGGCCTCATCATCCCTCATCTCACTTCGTGTCCCTTGGTCTGCTTCACCGCCGAGAACCAGTAAAGCCGAGTCCGGGCCTGCATCATGCCCATCACAAGCCCCGTAGAAGACTGAACCAGGGATCACTTGCTCGGCTACACCCTCAGCAACCACAGCTCCCTGAGATTCGTTCAGCACTGCATCCAAGAGGGTCGCTGCCAGGTCCGCCTGCTTCCGCCCCTCACCCGGTAGCTCCTCATCCTCCATCTTAGCAACCACCAACTGTGCCTGCATCATCTCCACGGTCGCAGCACCATACAGCCCGCGGATCATTTCCTCAGTCATCTGCCCCTGTCGCCATTGCTGGTACACTCGTTGGAACTCCAGGAAGTTGAGCGGTACGGTGTCTTCCAAGCTGTTCGTGGTGCTTGCCAGTCCTGGGCTCACGACACCCACCGGCTCGGCCACCTCGGTTTCAGCCTCCGATCCATCTTCCTCCTCCACCCTGATTCGTACCTCTTGCCCCACCGCCACTGGGATTTTCCATCGCTTCTCGGGACCAGGGCCACCAGCCACACTCCCCAGGCTGACCGCCAAGATACTTCTCTTGCGTCGCGGTCGGGCTCCACTGTGCATTTCGTCAAACAGAGCCCAGTCATCCCAATCCCTGCACTTGCGAGTCTCCTCCTCACCCATGTGGTGCTCGACTGCCTGTTGCACACCCTTCAGGTACTCCGCCTCCTCCTGTTCGAAGCGAGCTTGCATCTCGTCAAGCCCTTCCGCATCCCTGGCCGTCTCCTTCATGTCCTCGATGAGCTCATTGATAACCGCGCAGTCAACGTCTTCATTCACTCTGTCTAGACTGCTCGCCGGAAGGGAGCTGCTCAGGGAGACCGCCCCACTTGGCCCACATATCATAGGCTGAAGGCGGTTCCACCATTGGGATGCCCACTCGTCCACTTGACTCGGCTCTGAAAGGAAGCCCGTGGGAACATGACGCCTTCCTGTGTCCTCAACCGCCACGCACAGAGCCTCTGCCTGGTCAATCAAGTCCACGTCCAGCTGGCCGGGCACCCGCCGAATTCGCCTCAACCTTTCGTGCAGGTTGGCAGCCCGGAGCCGTGCCAGACCCGGTGACGGCCCTTCCAATTCCCTCTGCAAGTGCTGCACCAAACCATACACTTTGGTGGCCTCCAGCTGCACCAGGGAGGTGTGGCCCTCGTCATCATCGTCCCGCACCTCCACTGCCACCTCATCCCGATCGCTGCCATCTAACTCCACTTCCACCAAGCTGGCAGCATGCATAACTGCTCCAAGTTCATGCATGATTGCTCGCACAGCGGTGACCAAGCTGATCGTCATAAGGAGCTGCTGGTGCACCGTGTAACCACGGAGAACCTCGGCAATGTAGTCAGCCCTATCATCACTGATAAACGGTCCCCCATTGGGCACTGTTGCCAAGCCTCTAGGAAGGTCAGTGGTACAGATTCCGAGGATATAGCGCCAAATGTCCACTCCTTCATCTGTGTCCCGAGGCCCATTGGGGAAGAAAGTCATACTCATGTCAAAGTCAGTCGAGGATCCCGGTCGTCCGTCCCTCTCGCTCGGTCTGTCAGTGGAGCTCCCAGCTCCACTGCCACGGGGCCCATCAGTTGAACTGCCACAACCACTTGCCCTCGAGGGTCGCGTCGGTTTGGGCTTGAACTCCTCTGGCTTCTTTCTCCTCCACGGCGCCGTAGATAGGTGTGCTTCAGTGCGAGCGGATCGCTCCTCACCCGTCGCACCCCTTCTCTCAGTAGTTCTCCCTTCCCGGCCCTCCGCTGGGCAGGCACGAGCACCACGACGATCACGTCCACTTTCCATGTCTTCACGACCTCCACGCTCTCCACGTCGATCACCTCGGTCATCTCGGCGCTGCGAGCGAGACCTCCCTCGGCCACCATGTTTCTGTCCACCTCGGCGTCCTCTTTCCATTAGAACAGCACTGTCCTGCTCCACCTCTCTGTTCTCCTCCCCCACCCCCTGCAAGGTGCCCTGCTCCCTGTCACGGCAGAAGCATCGCCACAGGATGCCCTCAATCGTTTCTGCCCATCTGAAGAAGTTCGGCGGACCCACCTCATAGGACGTGTGCTCCGAGTGGACGATATCCATGCCGAGACTTCCCAATGGTCCACGAAGCCACCGAAGGTAGAGGTCATCACGTCGGCCTTCGCTGATTCCTCGCACCATGCAGATCGCCTCACCCACCTGCATGCCCTCATCCCACCACTCACCAAGCTGCTCCACCAGGCTTTCCCATGTGGGGATATCCGCTGCCCGGAGTTGGAAGAGGCCAGTCTCCTCCCCATTTCCCTCATCATCAATATGGTCGGCCTGAACAGACCCCGCCCCATCACTTGCATTCGAAGGAGGAACACAGGACCCCACTGAAGATGAAGATGAGCAGGAGCCACCAGTTAGCTCTTCATGACCTTCTGGTTCGGGCCCAGCCACCAAGTCCCCAATCCGTCTCCTTTTCAACACTGTGTAGGTCGCATTTCCAGGGCGGATGCCGTCTACAGCGTTGAAGATCCCCACGGGCTCCGGCACCACACCAGGCGGCGGAAGGCGCATCGAGGTCCAGCTCAACCACAGAGAGTGCTCGACATCCACACTCCAAGCGAGGTCGTCCACATTGTCCACGGCCCCTGGGTGGCCTTGCACCCTGCTACGCAAGGTCTCCAACAGGATTTCGGCATACTGCATGTAGCTGCGTATTTCTCGGTGACTCGCCAAAGTCCGGATCTGTTGGATAACCCTATCATTTCCGCAGCCTGCCCTCTGGAGTTCCCTGAGTCTCGTTTCAGCCGAAAACCACCATCGCCCAACCTCCGGCTGCAAGGCACCAGGCAAGCCCGCGAGCGTGTCATCATTGTCGTTCTCCAGCTCGGTACTGTGCTGCAATTCTCCCTGATTCAACACCTCTTCACCCGAGGTAGGACCCTCGTCCACACCATTCGTCCCGTTGCCAAACTCCCGAATCGTACCATTCAACACGTCCCGGGGGTCCTCGGTCCGCCGAGCTTCCTCCTGGTCGGCAGAATCGTCAAAAGGTGCATGAGGACCATCAGCGCTGGGACTCCCTGAGCCATCCCATACGAAGCACACGAGCACCCAAAGTGCAATCGACATTAACGGCGCCAGCTGCATTTGACAGCTACGCATACGTAGAAAGACCATGAAAAGCAGCCACTCTGTAAGCAGCCGTGCGAAGTAGCAGGGGCCTAGCCGAGCCACAGCTGCAATCAGGAACGTGCCTTCACACGCAGCAAAGCCAAAGACCCTAACACTTCACTGCACACCTCGAATTCAGAAAACAGCTCTCACCAAGCACGCGGAACATCACGAAATCAAACTCCATTCTACTGCCAGTCCTGTAGCCTAGTTTGCCTGCCACTGGCCCACGGAAGGTCCATGTTCGCAACCCATCCATTCTCCTTGCCTCGCCACCCCTTTCGGTCCTGTGCCACCACCCTCCAGTCACCCCCCGATGCCTTGTGCATAGCCCTCTCCATATTCATCAGTCTAGGGTAGTGGTGCGGGTGTGTGATGCCATCAGTGGATCTCTTCTGCGCTTCCCACCAGTCGAGGGTGCGAAAAGCATCCAGCTGAGCACTCAGTGGCGGGAAATCTCTCAGCATGGACCTAGAGCGGTGACCCGAAAATCTCCACCATCTTCTCAACCAGCACGTGCTCCACCTCTCCTGTCCACAGTTGTGCAAGGCAGCCCGCGCAGACCGGAAGGACCGGAGTCGGAAAGCATCCCACCCCTCATCAGACCGCTTAGCGAGCCTCATCGTCCAGATCACAAGCTGCAACTGCATCGTATTCATAAGCCCCATAGCCGCTCGGTCCGGTGGGAAAGCGGCAACACACCATAGCACCGAGTTTCCAATGGCTGTTGCCAAGGACTTCATTCTGCCTTTCAGCTGAGTCCTAGCACGGAATATGTGGTGAAGGGACCAGAATTTGTCGCGAGCGCGAGCAAGCAGGGGAGAGACTAGTCCAGAGGTCGTCATGCCCACCTTCATCGGGAGCCCCATTACCTCCAACTCTTCCACGGCTTCCACCCTTTCCCCGGCGATCCAAACATGCTTGTCCCCGTGCCAATGTGGAGAGCAGAGAAGCTGACATTTGCCACCATTCAACTTCAATCCGTACTCGAACAACACCACCATCAGCTGCCTAACCCTTTGCTGCAAGCCCTCGACCCCACGAGACCACAAGAGCCCGTCATCCATGAATAGCACATCTTGATGGGGCATGCCTGGGAAGACCTGTGCTTGCTTACTCCACTCGTATCTCTCCGCCGCCTCACTCAAGCAGACTTCCGCGATCATTGCAAATAATGCCGGGCTCTCAACTGCTCCCTGCTTTATGCCCTTCTGCATACTCAGCATAGACACCCCCCACGGAGTTTGGAGGATCGCGTGACTATCCTGAAGGAGGGCCCTCCAGCATCTGAGCATTGCACAATCACCCATCCTCTCCCGGAGCTTTGCAAGAAGCCGCTCTCTATCAACAGTGTCAAAGGCCTGGGCCACATCTAGCTTCAAGAGGCAAAGCCCTGCACGCCATTCTCGATCAAGTTCCAATACCCTCCACACTGAGAAGAGGTAGTCTGCAGTCTGCCTTCCTACCCCTGCACATTGGCTATGTGTCTTAGGTGCGATGAACGGAATGGTGCGGTTGAGGAGGAGCCTGGAGAAGAGCTTGCAAGCAGCACTACCCATACTGATCGGCCTTAACTGCTTAGCTTCCTTCGGAGTCAGAACCTTGGGCAGCAGCACCATGAGGGGTGTGTTCCAATCAGCCGGGATTTCGTGCGTGATCAACACCCTGTTCATAAACTCAAGGATGTGGCTCTTCCCCCCTTGCACCTTGGACATGCCAACCAGGAGCTCAGTGGAAGTACCATCAACCCCCACCGACTTCGAGGTCTGCATCTGGCCCAGAGCCTTGTCCAGCTCCTCTACTGTGAAGGCAGCTGTCTCACCCGGGAACACCCCTTTGTTCGGCTCGACCCCTCGACCCTCGTACACCGCCTCCAGGTGATCATGAACAACCGTGTGCGGATCCCGGTCTTGTGCGTCTGCGAAACTGTGCTCCCAACCCGTCTGGGTCTTCACCCGGCACTGACGAAAGGCTTGCCAATCTCCCTGACTTGCCCTAGCCAACCTGTCTGCTTCCCACACCTTTCTTGCCTTCTGCCTCAGCGACCTCACCTGGACCCAGGATGCCTTGGTACGAGAGAGCCTTGCCCGAGCAATTGCTTGTTTGAATTGCGGGGGGTCCCTGTACCCATATCCCCGCGCCGGCACTGTGTACTTCTCCGCGTAATGGGTCAACACCGTCTGGTCCACATGATGTATCTCCGAAATGCCACCAACCCACACCCTAGGCCTGGTCGAGTATCTCTTGTAAGGCTTTCCCGGAGCGATACGGAAGATCCCCTCCAACAGCTCATGGTCCGTACCCAACACATGGCAAGAGTCTTCATGCACCCTCACGCTCACCCTCGACACTCTGCTTCCACACATGTAGTCGATGATGGACCCTCGCCGCCCTTCTTGCCTCGGCCTGCTCGTTGGTGTTCTCAGTTGATCCGGTTCCGGAGGCATAACCACAAGGCCCTTTTCCGCCACTCTTCCCAGGACTTCGTTTGCCTTGCCATCCTTCCCCACCGGCAGGAGACCACCTTCACACTCTCCCCATCTGATTGGAGCATTTGCATCAAAGGTGCACACCACCGAATCGCTGTTTCGGGGGGCTTTCCCGAAGAACCCCACCACTTCCTGCTCGTACTGGGCGTGTGTGCATCCCGGAGTAAAGTGTGCCGTACCCACCCACAGCAATGAGCCACTCTCGAGATGTCTGAGTCTGAACCACGTCCCTCTCTCTGCAGCATATCGTCTGAGAACACACCAGCACCGACTTGAAAAGGCGATCCCTGTGCCCCTCCATGCCTCTTTGCAACGGTGCGACACAATCTCCAGGTCACCCTGCTTTTCACTGCTCCATCCTTCACCGGCTCTCGGCAACTCCTGAAGGGCCACCAAAGCCGTAGCTTCGAGCCCACATCCGGTCGCATCACGGACCCCTTGTTTGAAGTTTGAGATATCGCAACCTCCCACATTCCATCCGAAAACTTTGACCTGTAAACCAGACTGCAAACCAGCCCGTAGCTCCCGAACTCGAGGCTTGTCAAAATCTGTACATCCCTGCATAGACGAAGTCGGTTCTCCGGGCGAGGCATCATCACGACCCCCACTCAGTCGGCTTTGCCGATCAACTCCATCCGGTCTCAAACCCTCCGAGACATCAAGTGGCTGGAGACCATCAATTCGAAGACTGTCCCCGCTCGATCGTTCAGCCATGCGACGCCAAGTTGCACGCTGCTCGACCTCAGGAGGGACCTGAAAAGGCTCTCAGCGGCGGCTCTGCTCCAGTGCCTCTCGCACTTGCTTCCTGGACTTCCCAACGAGCTTCGCAATCAAGCCAACGTCCACCCACTGTTTGTGAGGTGAGTCCTGATCAACATCGATGCCCGAGTGATCGTGTTGAGGGGGAACCGGGAGGCGGACGCTGCACAGCATACCCGCCGGACCCCATGCCGTGCCCGTCTTATACTCGAAGTCCAGCTGCTCACGGGCAGTGGTCTCATTGAAGAGGGCCACCGTTCTCTTCACAAGGGCTGCATGCGAGGCCACCGCTCGTTCCTCAGGGCTCTTAGAGAAGTTGCACCAGAGTCTTGTGCTCGCCCCAGACATGACCTCATTTTCCCCAAAGGCCGTCACAAACTTGTACATCCTGTCACGGCGAGCCTGCTCTGTCTCGTTCGCCCGCAGCGGCATTGGCAGCAAAGCCACAGATCTTCTTGGCCCAGTGCAAAAGGCCTGCTGATCCACCATTCCAGCCAAGCCCAGGCGCCGGATCGCCATCTCAAGCTCCTTGAGGATGTCCTGCCGCCTGGAATCACGGGGCCAACCCCCCACCACCAGAGTAGATTTCCTGCGTTCGGCATCATCCTTTGGCACTGCCTGCACTGCACCTGTCTGCACTAAGCCCTTCAAGTCCTTCAGCGCGGCCTCGAGCTCCACGATCCGTCCCTCGAGAACCTCAGATCTGCCATGTACCTCTGCCATCTGCTGCTCGACTTTCCCAACCCGCGCTTCAACCCGTTCCTCCATCTCGTGCACAGCAGTCGCGAGTTGCCGTTGCTGAGCCGCGAGGAGCTCCCGGCTCTGATCTGCCAACAGCTCTCGCACTCTCTCAACATCCAAGGTGACCGTTCCCGAAGGGCGCTCCTTCTTGGGAGACGGCAGCCCGGGAGCAGCTTCGATGCCACTCCTCTTCTTGCCTCCACCGCCGTCCTCGCCCCCTTCCTCGTCAACCTCCAGAGGAACCGGCACATTAGCCGCATCTTGTCCTTCAGCCCCCAAACGGATGGGCACCTTGTTGGAAGCCCCGGGCGCCATGAGAAAATCCCGAATCAGGTAGCCGACAAGCCCCAGGGAGAACTAGACCCGCCTGCTCCGCGGAGGACCCCCGGAGGAACTGCAGCCGCCAGGCCGTCGTCGAGGTCGTCAACCGCGACCCCCAGGTACACAAGACACACGCCGCACTCCCTCCCTGAAGGGGAACTAAAGCCTTGAGCCTTGAGCTTGAGCCTTGAGCCGGGTTCAGGGTTTTGTTTATGGCTTAGGGGCTCTGATGGGCTTTGGGGGTTTAGGATTTAGGGTTTACTGCTCCTTATCCTCGTCCCGTCTCTCGACCGTCACTATGAAACCTATGTATCCTTACTTCACAGGTCATTGCTCGAGCCTTGAAGGTCTGTCGACGAAATTGGGCAAGCCCTTACTTGGAGGATCATGGGACTTAGTAAGTAAGGTTATGAGTACCCTAATTGGGGTTATAAGTATATAGTTACCTTGGATAAAACCCTAGTTACTAAGTCCCATGACCCTTTGTGTAACTGCAAACTAGCGCAAGGCTCCAGGGCTGTAGGGTCTGGCGTCGGCAGTCTACGATAAGTCGTGGATTCTAGCGTTGTCGGGATAGCATTGAGGGTGTCAGTGCCTATGTCATGTCGCAATATATTTGAAGGTTGCTGATGATTGTGATTGTGTGCAGCGTTTCAATCAGAAGCTGCCGGAGCAAGAGCTAGGGTTTAAGGTTCAGGACAGAGGGCTTAGGACCAGGGATAACCCTGAAGCCAAAGAGGCCTCAAGGCATGAAAACGCCCTAAAGCCTGCACACACCCAGAGAGCCCAATACCCCGTAATTAAGGAATATAGCTTATAAATCTTAATATGAATCCCCCTAACAGTAGCTTGAATCGTAATATGAATGCCCTTGAAAGTAGCTTGAATCATAAAATGAATCCCCTTAAAAGTCAAGGTAGATTCCTTAATTACGTGGGTATTGGGCTCTCTGGGCAACTCAGAAACTCCGGAACCAGAACACTCCCACAAGACTTGCGCCACCTTCCCCCCCCCTTCCAGTAGGTATCAGTGCAGCGGTTTAGGGTTCAGGGGTTTAGGGTTTAGGGACATGGAGTACTGAAACACTGAAAACCAAGGACACAACCTAAACACGAAGCCATGACTCCAAAACCCAACTGCTTAATCTAAGCAGGGGGCTTGTGCACCCTAGGCTATAGACACTCAAACCTTCCATAAACCCTTCAAGCCGCTACCAAAACCCGAGTTTAGGGTCTATTAGGGGCCCTGGGCCTAAAAACCCGAAACCCTGAACCCCTAAACCCTAAACCCCTAAACTCCGAAACCCTAAACCCTGACCCCCAACCCTTATATAGTGTTTAGGGACCCTAAACCCTTAACCTTAGTGTTTATAGGGACCCTAACCCGCAACCCTGATCCACTTAAGGCAAGAAGCCATGTCCTTGCTGGGTTGCCATACCTGCTAACCAATGGGGGAGCTAAGGAGCTAGGGATGATGATATTTCCTATTCAATAAGGAGCTAAAGAGCCAAGGGAACCCCCGAAACCACTGGTTAGCCTGAGCCAAAGCAAGGTATAGGCCTTCAGGCCTCAATAGAAGCGCCTTCATAACTCGAACACATAGGGGCTGGGGGTATATCATGCGGCATTTATAATAATAGGAGCCCCCCAAAATGGTATTGACAAATATCTGGGCCTTGGAGTCTCTAGAGGCTTTATACTGCGAGTTTACCTGAGGGTTGGAGCTGCAGGTATCGGGGCCTCGGGTTTTGGAGAACAAAGCGCCTGCCATGGAGTGTTATGTTTTTGTCTTCACATGTGTGTGTCTGTGTGCCTGTGTGTGTGTGTTTTTGCAGGTGCGCGTGTAGATATGTAGGTATCCCTGGGTGTATGTATGCATGCATGGATGGACAGATGTATGCATGACTGCATGGATTGATGTATGCGTGTGTGTATGCATGCATGTATATGTGTGTATGTATGCATGTATGTATGTATAAATGAATGGATGCATGTATGTATGTATGTACGTGTAAGTAAGTAAGAAAGCAAGCATATGAGTAAGCAAGTAACCAAGTCAGTACGTAGGTAAAGTAAGCAAGTGGGTGAGTAAGTAAGCAAGTAAACAGGTATGTATGTATGCATGCATGTATACATGCCTGCCGATGTTCATTCATACATACTTACTTATTTGCTTGTGTGCAGGCATGTATATCGTACCCTTAGCAGCACTTTGCAACACTGACTTACCTGAAGGATGAAACGATGCTGTACCAGGCTTCAAGAACAGTTGAAAAGAGTGGCCTGGAGCTACCGTAAGGTCTATGAGGTTACATGTTCGTGTAGGGTTGCTGAAAGGTGCACTTAAAGGTCCGCTCACACTAATGCAATAATTTGATGTACCCGTTGTAGCAACCGTGAATTTGGGCCAGCCCTCTTTGGTATCCCTCACACAAACGCTACATTAGGGTGGCTTCCTGGGTCCCTATTTTTAGCACCGCGGGCCCCGCCTCCGATTTGTGAAGTCCAAAAACTCCATCAGGGCGTGAAAACCTGGCGACCGGAACTTGGTATGGGACATGACATCGAACAACTTCGCATAGATAGCAGCCGTGGCAAAAACTTACCTTGGGTTCGTAGGGATTGGAGGAATGGGGTACAACTATAACTACTATTGCTACCATTCTTCCATTCCCTACTAACCAAAGGTAAGAAAACAGTCTCTCAATTGACAGCTACAGATTCAGCCTGATTCGGCAGCTCACCAAGAGCAGTCTTCGACTTAAAGCTCTGCAGCCGGACCGACCCATCACGGCGGGTGGGACTTAGTAAGTAAGGTTATAGGTACCCTAATTGGGGTTATAAGTACAGTTACCTTAATTACAACCCTAGTTACTAAGTCCCATGACCCTTTAAGTACCGCCGACAAACCTGAGACCTGCCTTGAAACTTCGATGAACGTCCTTAGGCCCTTCATACTCCCTCGACCCTTGAAGTAGGAATGAATGCATACGGTCCAAAACCCAACACAGCACTCCCTACATCCTAACCCTGAAACCCGCTGAAGGCCCAGGTCCAAATATAAAACCCTACGGTTGATGATATAAATCCTGCATTACCTTAAGGACCCTAAACTATGGGAATTATGGTATATTCCTTATTATGGGTCATGCAGGATTTATATCATCAACCGTATAACCTTAAACTCTGCAAGGCTACAGGGCCTAGATGAAGCAAGCACACACCCCTCGTCCGATTTGCCTCGCTGCATCATCGACTGGGCTTGTCGGAAGCGCTTGTCCTTCTCTTCAGCCTCCTCGCGGGGATTAGGGTTCCGGGCCTGAGGTCCAAAACGTAGGGCTAGAAGTAAGCCTTTTAGAGGGCTTGTGTAGGGCTTGGGACCACACTAAACCCTAAACCTGAACCCCAACGGTAAACCCTGCACCCTCCACCTTAAATACTACACCCCCTAGACCGTAAAATCTGAACCCTGGACATATATAGCAACCCTTATCATAGTGAACCTTATGAAAGTGAACCTTACTATAACAATCCAACTTCTGAAACCCTATAAACCCCAAAAGCCCTCTAAGCCCTAAGAAAGCCTTTAAACCCAATAACCCCTGTAATACCTATACATGCCGAATAAAGCCAGAAACTCAACTCTAAACTCTAAACCCTACACCCCTACTACACCCTCAACCTTAAACCCCTACACCCTAAACCCCTACACCCTAAGCCCTTAAACCCTAAACTCAACTCTCCTCGGCCGCATCGAAGGCGGCCTCGTAGGACGTCTCTCGCCAGTGCCGTGCCGACACGGCTGAGCGCTCGGAGGCGGCGGCTCGGCTCGTTACGAGCACCTTCGCTTAGGGTTTGGGGGTTTAGGGTTTGAGGGTTAAGGGTTAGGTCTTATCTGCTTCTGGGCTGTTTAGGGTCTCGGGTTTTCTCTTGGTTTTACATCTTTTTGCTGGCATGGGTTCAAGGGTAAGTATTTGTTCAGGATGTGGGCTTTTGTTGGCAGACCCAGGTATCAGCGACAGGCACATAAACTGTGCAGAAAAAAGAGATAGTAATCGCAGCAATCGCCATGAGGCAAAGTTAAGAACGTGGACCCGCACAGCCAAATCAAGAATCCTAAAATTTAACCTTAAACCCCAAACCTGCAAGCAACTCATCAACCCCATGCCCTTGACTCGAAGCTCCTAAACACCCTGACCTACCTCCAGCCGCGCGGAGCGCACCGTGGAGTCACCAGTATTCGGCCGCGTTGTGCCACGCGTGAGGCGTCCCTCGGAGTCCGTCGGGGACCTTCTCTGCTTTACAAGAGGGAGTTGGGAGACTAGAATTTAGGGCTGGGGTGTTATAGTGTTTGGGGTCAGGGGCTAAAGGATTGGAAAAGCCTGAAAAAGAATATTTCAAAATCTCTAACACTCAACCCTAACCCAAAAAGCCTCATACGCCTAACAAGTTGAACTAACCCAGAAACCTCATATGCCTAACTACTTCAAGGAGCGCTGGCTCCGCCCAACCCAGAGCAGATCCGTCTGCTGGCTCCTTGACAGCCATTTGGAGGAACTCCGGGATTGAGTTGTGGGGTTCCTTAAAGGGTCATTAACTAGGGTTTGGGGTTCCTTTAAAGGCTACTATAGGGTTTACGGTAGGGTTCCCTTTAAGGGTTTAGGGTTTAGGGTCTACTTAAAGGGTCATGGCATTTAGTAACTAGGGTTCTAATGTAGGGTTCTGTAAAGGTTCCTTTAAAGGGATCGATAAGGGATCTATAAAGGGTTTAGGGCTTATTGATTAGGGGAATACTTAAAGGGTCCCGGGACTTAGTAACTAGGGTTATAAATTCAGGTAACTATACTTATGAGTACTTATACCCCCAACTAGGGTACTTATAACCTTGCTTACTCAGTCCCACGATCCTCCAAGATAGTGTGTCGGGCTCGGGGATTGTGTAGGGGTTGGGGTGGGTTCGAGGAAAGGACGGGTTTAGGGAGTTTCTCATGGGCTTGGGTGCGAAGCCTGATCGCGTACAGTGCGTTTAAGGCAGTTTATGGGATTCCGGAAAGATGATGCCTACCTGCAGTCTCCATTGTGATTCCTTTTTTGGCCTCACCAACTTTATAAGTAGGATTCCATAAGGTAACCCCAAAATGGGAACTACAATGGAGACTACAGGTAGTCCACTTGCTAGACCTTGTGGGGCTTCAGTTTCGTATGGCGCTGAACCACAACATCACCGAACCCGGTAGTCCGAGACTGGACTCGAAGTCTCTGGGCTTAAGGTTTCGAGTTGAAGGTTGGGGTTCAGGGCTTACGGTCCAGGATTTTAGGGCTTAGGAACTCCAAACTCAGCTGCGCAAAAACAAAAAACGTTGCAATCGGCATCTACTTGAAGGAGCTGGGGCTTAGTAAGCAGTTATCTTATAGACTTTGAAGTACCATCACCGTATTTATGACCCCTTCCAGGGTACTTATAAGTCTACTTATTGCTTCCGCACCCCATCTAAACGACCTGCACGGGATCTCCGGGTCCCAGATGTCAGGGCTGGCTTGGGACTGTGGTTTGTACTCAACAAGGGGAGGAGCAGGAGGAGGGGGAGGAGGGTTTGGGGTTTAAGATTTAGGGTTTAGGGTTTCGAGGAGGAGGAGGAGGAGGAGGAGGAAGGCACACTAGCTCCACGGTGTTGCAAAAGGGCGCACATGGACATGGAAGAAAACTGGCAAAACACAAAGCCCACAACCCCGAGGTGCTGCGACTGGAAGCCCGAAGTTCCACACCCTCAGCCCTAAAAACCCAAGCCCTGAACCTAAACCCGTCATCCCTAAACCTGCCAGCGCTCCCTCAACTACCCCGTATTTGAGCGTAAGTACCCGCTATTGAGGACTATAAGGCCTCTATTAAAGGCTACTTTTGGGAGGTCGCTGGTGAAGCAGGAGCTGCGCCAAAAAAAGACCCAGACCTGACAACCACCCTAAACCCTAAACCTTGAACCCTAAACCCTAAGCCCTAAACCACCAAACCCTAAACCCGAAACCACCAAACCCTAAACCCGAAACCACCAAACCCTAAACCCGAAACCTAGAGTGAAACACGAGCTCCTCCAAAAACTGAGGCCACGGAGGTGGCGACTGCGGCGAGGACGGCCGTGGTATGCCCTTCCAGGGGCTTAGGGTGTATAGGGCTTAGGGTTGAGGGTTTGGGGTTAAAAACGGTCCTAGTAAACCCCAAACCCTGAAGGTAGTAAACCCTGAGCCCCATAATGTGGCGCCCTTGGTGATTAGGGTGGGGTTTGGGTTATGTTATACTATAACCATAATAAGGACCCACCCCCAAAAAAACAGTATAGGTCACATGTAAGGCTCGTATACTACCCGTTTTGGAGCTAAGAGTGCTAGGTTTTCCATTGAGGCCAGGACTGGCTTGAGGAGCTTTGGGGACGTCGCTGCATCGTAGTAGACTAAAATCATTTGATGGCTTGTTTAGGAGTTTAGGCTTTTAAAACTTTGGGTTTAGGGCTGAGGGCTTTGGGTTCAGGGTTGAGGAGCAGATGTGCAACACCAAAGGGGCTAAACTTGAAAATGCAATCTAAACGACAACATGGACGACTGTTGACTTCAACCTTTTGGCTCCTAAACCCCTCGTTAAATCCTTAAACCTCTTGCCTTCAAGGGCAGCAAAGGAAGTGCAGTCAGCGTAGTCTCCGGCACAGGCGTGGGCGGAGGTGGGAAGGCGAAGCGGATCTGCTTGTTCAGCCAGTTCTCCCCAGGTGGTCTTCGCCCCTTCCTGAGTTGGAGTTCAAAAAAGCTTTGGGGTAGGGTTGAGGGTTTAGGGGTTAGGGTTTGGGATATATCTATATATATATATATATATATATACATATATATATAGGGTTAAGCCCTCTTAGAAGAAACAGTTACCACGGAAGACGCGTGGAGGGATGCTCGGGGCTGAGGACCTGTTGCTGGCAGACGGAGTGACCCAATCCTACATAAGACCACGGCACAAAAGAAGCTTTTTTCCTAAACCCTCAACCCGAAACCCTAAACCACTAAACCCTGAACCCCAACTTTTCCTAAACCCTTAAAACTCTCTTGATTTAACTACCGGAACAAGCGCACAAGACCACTGCCCAACATCCTGAATCATACATCCCTAAGCCCTGACCGCCTCATTCAGAGAAGCGACAAGTTCAACCCGAAATCCCTGAACCCTAGTTCTCTGACTAGCTGCAGCGCAAGTGTCTCCCAAAGGTTCACACAATTCAAACCTACTATAAACAAAAACTCTAAACCCGATTACTAAGGCCCACCTAAACCCTATTAAACCCTAAACCCTTAAACCCATAACTGTTAACCCTTATTCCCTTAAACTCTTCTCCCTTACAGCCTAAGCCCTGAATAAGCCCAAACCCTTCAACCCCAAACCGACTATCACAACTTCACACTCAGCTTCAGCAGATCCATGGCGAGGGCTGCATGCCGCAGAGCAGTGACCTAATATAGGGGCCCTAAACGTTAGAATTGGGTTCCTCAAGAAGGTTCCTTTTAAAGGGGTCTTTAGGGTAAGGGTCACTGTAAGGGGTTTAAGGATAGAGGCCGTAATAATAATTAGAATAAGGTTCGTTCAAAGGCAGAAACAGTAAGTGTGCAGGATTTCGGGTTCAGGGTTTAGGGGTTTAGGGCTTTGGGGCTTACTTAGGGTGTAGGGGTTTTGGGTTTAGGGGTTTAGGGTTTAGCGTTTAAGGTTTAAAGCTTAGGGATTCCGGGTTTAAGTCTTCGGGCCCCAACCCAAAGGATCCATGTGCTCACGTCTCACTTACTTTGGCCTGACAGTAAAGTTTGATTTAAGGACGAAATATATACTGCATGAATACACGGACCGTTAGGCAAGCCGGCATGGACAATGTGATTTTCTGTTTATGCATGTCTCTGCTTCTTGTATGCATGTACGTACGTACGTATGCATGTATGTGCATAGGTAGCGAAAGCATACAGAGCACGCAGTATTGGGCAGACGTCCGTTCAATCATCACAAGTACTGGTGATGACAAAGATTGGGTTTAGGGTTTATAGTGTGAAGCACCAAGATCGTATGTCATCCTGGATTAACGATTGTAGACTGCGCACTGCTGTTTGATTCCGCTACTGTGCATCAGCTGGTCAGACCTCTCCCAGAAACCCGGAAGCACCGCGCCACTCGAAGGCTTTTGGTTCGACGCGTGGAAAAGGTCCACATTCGTTGGAGGCGGGCCAATGGGCTTGCATAGCTAGCTTAGTGTCTTAAACTGGTAGCGGAGCCTGTGTGCTCCAGTAGGTACCTAGTTGTGACGCCATGTCAACAAGTGCAGCCGGACCACCTCCGGGCTTCGAGGACGCGAGTGTGCGAAGTGATGCTGTGGCCCCGGATGTACCGGCGCCAGAGCCCACCCAAGTGCCGCCTACTACCAGTTTGGGCGGCGGTGACGCTAGACGTGCAGGAGCTCAGAGTGATGTTCCCGGGTCGGACGATGGATCGCAACCCCATCAACCTGGGAGTGACCAAAGTGCGGGCGACCCGCACAGTGGCGGGGGATCTACCACTCGGGCGGAGTGGGCCTGGGACCAGAGCGCTGCCTCCACGGGGCCTGATGGAGGCGAGCGCTGGCAGTCTGCGAGCGCAGGTGCGGGACAAGCTAGCGATAGGCGCGGCAGCTGGAGCACAGCGGCTGATGTCGGTGGCTCACACCACGGACGTGATCCATGGACGGACAGCGACCCTTGGAGGGCCGCCCAGCCGCGAGATAGCCACGAGAACCTCACCCGGTGGAACGATTCCCTCACCGGGTGGAACGATCGATGGGATCCGAGCGAACGGCGAGATGGACGAGGATGGCGACCTGATCCCTGGGCGGATGGTCGAGACGGGGACTCTCGACATTACGATCAGCCGGACCATCACCGCAGTCCCTGGGCAGATGGTCGAGACGGAGCTGCTCGACACCATGATTGGCAAGCCGGAGGCCCGGGCAGAGCGCGGTTACACGATCAGGATCTACGACGAGGTGATGCCTGGGGCGACGACCACGGCGACCATCGGTGGAGGCCAGACCCAGGAGCTACCAAGGTCTGGAGCAACGTGCGGGCTCAGGACATCCACGGGATGGGATCATGCGCATGATCAGTGGCAAGGATGGCAACCTCGTGACGACTACGGCTTTGATGGAGGCCGTGGAGAAGGGAGTGCCTACGGCGTACGGGAGGCCCTCAGAAAAGCTGGCGGTGCCCACCTTCTCCGCCGAGGACACCGAGGATTTTGGGGGGTCAGCCAGGTCGTATTTGAGACAGGTCTCCGCATGGAGACAGATGACCCTCTTACCGGAGAGTCAGCAGGGCTTGGTGTTGTACCAAGGTCTCTCCGGGAAGGCCTGGATCGCTGCCGAGGAGCTCTCCGTGTCGCGCTTGGGCGAGGAGAGCGGAATAGATTACTTCCTTTCCTGGATTTGCGCGAGATTCCTGGACTTGGAGGTCGCTCGTATCGGCAAGGCCTTCTCCGACTACTTCCGTCGCATGCGTCGCCGACCTGGTCAGTCGATCCGCGAGTACAACACTGAGTACGACAGGCTCTTCGGCCGCTTGAGGGAGGTGGGATGTAACCTCCCACAGGAGGCCGCGGCGTGGATGTATCTGGATCGTCTTCAACTCGAGGAGTCCCAGGAGCTGAACTTGCTGGCCTCTGTGGGAAACAGGTACGACTTGCTTCGTCTCCAACAAGCAGCGATCTTACACGACAGGGGGCAAAGGAAGCCTTGGGAAGCAGCGAATGCCCGCAACAAGAAGGCGAACTACGCGCACGTGACCTACCACGAGGAGGACAGCGACCTGGACGAGGAGGGCGGAGATGAAGGCATCCCTGAGGAAGTCGCGGAGGCATGGGTCACCTACCAGTCGGCAAAAGACCGTTACCGGTCCCAGCAGCGCGCAAGGGGCTACAATGGAGAGGGCGGCGACAAGGGCACCAAGGCTGGGGCGCCCGATGGCGAGAAGGACCGCGGCGAAGGCCGCGACTCGGGCCGCGAAGCGAAGCTCAAAATGATGAAGGCGAAGAGTTTCTGCAGCGGCTGCGGCCGCAGAGGCCACTGGCACAAGGACGATGCCTGCCCTTTGAACCAGGGCAACGGAGCGGCCACCAAGGGCGAGAGCCGTGCTCAGGAGGTCGCGATGACCACCGTGCTCCCTGCTGAGATCTTCGCTTTGAGGCACGTGTTGAACACCGATCTGGTCGGGGTCGCAGACACAGCCTGCGCCAGGACCGTTGCCGGAACCCAGTGGCTGCAGGCGTACACGGACAAGATTGCCGAGCTCGGACAACGTCCCGTACTTCAACGGGAAGCCGAAGCTTACAGGTTCGGCACGGGAAAGATCCACTACTCCTCCTTCTATGTGGTGGTGAACTTCGAGCTCGGGGACTATGTTCTACAGGTTCGCACGTCGATCATAACCGGCGACATCCCGTTGCTGCTCTCAAGGACTGTCTTGGGCAAAATGGGCATGGTGTTCGATGTTGAGGGCGGGAGTGCTGACTTCAAAAAGCTCGGCTTATACAACTACAAGCTCTTGAACACCCCCTCAGGGCACCCTGCGATCCCAATTGTTCCGGCAAAGGCCGTGAGCGCGGCACCAGTCCTGCAGGTAGAGGACATCCGACTGCAGCCCAAGGAGCAATACATGTCCGTCTATGCAGTAGCCCACAGTCCTCATAGCACTCCCCGCTACACTGGCATCTTTCATGAGAAGAAGCTTGACCCCAGTGTGAAAGATTTGCTCAGTCAGGATTGCTTGCAGCTTGACACGTTCATGACATGGTGGCAGCAAACACCCCACGACAAGGACTTTTGGCTAGAGACCCCTGATGCTTGGATTCGTGTGCACGTTGTACCTCGGAGGGCAATGTTCAACCCAACCACATGGAGAACCACCAGTACAATCCAGAAAGACATGTTGATTGCAACCCTCGGGCACACCCGCATGACAGAGAGTGTTTGCTGCAGTTCAGGACGCTGGCTAGAAGGTACCGTAGACCACTGGGAGAGCTGCCTTCGTGATGAACAAACTTTTCCGTTGCTCTGGGTTGGAAGAACAGTTCTGTACAAGACGAAGCCCCCAGGTCCCTCCTTGTCAATCGCAGCCGCGGCCGGTGGACCACGGAGCCCCATGCGCACAGGAGGAGAAGCCGAAGGCCATCAGCGCGATGCGAAAGACGGAGCTCTTGGCCGAAGCGAACCGCCTCGGGATGACCGTGCACCCGTCGTGGACCGTGGTAGAGCTGAAGGCGGTGATACGCGAGCACATGGAGGCGAACCAGGAAGGCGACGTAGCTCGGAAGATGAAGAAGTTGAACTCGCTGACGTTGCCCGAGCTGCGTGCCAAGGCCAACGAGCTCCATTTTGCGATCCCCGAGAAGGCCAGCAAGGGCCTGATCCTGAAGCTCGTCAGGGAGAGCCTCAACACGCCGGCCAACACCCTGATGACCATTGGCCGGTGGAGGGGATGCGAGTACCAGGAGATCCCGGCCAGCTACGGCAACTGGGCCATGGAGGAGACCAGACGCTCGGACAACTCGCACCCCGACCTGATCCGCTACGCCCGTTGGTACGAGCAGCACCTGAAGGAGAAGGCGGCCAAGACGAAGGTCCCGGACGACGAGTTCGATTCCACCTACAAGGCGATGCCCTGCCGGAACCCTGGCGGATTCCTGGGATGCGGCATCGATGGTGACCGCGCCGTTGTCGAAGAGCTCGAACGGAAAAGGGAATGCCAAGGCGACGACGAAGCGGACCAACTACGAGCTGAAGGACAAGAGCGGCTACATGGAGGCGGCCCCGGACGAGGCCGTGACGAAGGAGATCGAGGCGCTGGAGTTGAGGTTGGCCCTGCTCAAGGACAAGGCCAGGAGCAGCCGGGAGTGAGCCAGCACGAGACCGGGACCCACCACTTGGAGCCAAAGAAAGAGAATGCCCATCGGGCAATGTGTTGTGGTTGGGTACCCGAGCAAGAAATGATCACCGAGACCGAGTTTGTTCGCGGCTACCACAGTCAAGCCGTGAGCTACGTCACCCAGCACTACGAGCACAACGACCACATTCGTGGAGAACGACATCAATTCGATCAGGCCGTTCATCGAGGCGGCTGCGGGAAGGACTTCGACTTGAGCGACTACACCTTCGCGAACTGCGAGAAACTCCTCGCAAACACCCTCCGCAACGAAGCCAACAACTTGAGGAGCATCCACCTCGACTTGGGCGCCGAGGACCAGATCTACGTGACCCTCGGCATGTACACCCACGGAGGGGTCCACGGGGTGACGCGGGCAAGCAAAGAACTTGATGTCGCCGTCCGCTACTTGAACCACTTCGGGCGACACCATCTCCCCGACGATGCTGCGTGGACTTCGATCTCGATAACACGAGACCTTGGAACCGAGCTACACAGAGACGGGAATAACCTGAAGGGCACCTCCAACTACTGTGCGACCTTCGGCCAGGACTCCGGCGGGAATCTATGGCTAGAGGAGAATGGCCTGAGCGAAGGGCAGGCCAATGGGGGACACGTCCTTTGGAAACGAGACAAGAGCGGCGCATGGATACCCGGCCGAACTCACAGCACCAACAAGGCCTTCCTCGAGTTCGACCCGCACCTGCGACACTGCTCTACTCCCTGGATTGGACAGCGATGGTGCTTGACCTACCACTCCGTGAGGGGAATTGCTACCTGTGGCAACGAGATCAAGAAGTTCCTGAAGAACTCAGGCTTTCCTCTCCCCAAGGTCAGCAAAGGCCCCGGGGGAGAGACCATGGTGAAGAAGAGGGCCGGCAAGTCCTTGAGGAACACGATCATGAAGAACGCCGGCAAGATCAGCGTTCTCATGGCCACGCTGATGACCGCGGCCCTGGCCTTCTCCGGAAGTCTGGGAGGTGATGGCCCCGACTACGACCCGATAGTGATGCTGGAGATCGGTGGAACAGAGGGCACAGCAGAGGCGGTCGACCTTGGAAAGGCCGTCATCGAACCGATCTCTTGGCCGGACTACCTGAACCCGGACACCCAGGAGAACATGTACCACTTCGTGACCGGTGCCAGTCCTAAAGAGCTTCGACTACATGTGGACGACATGCCGAGCGAGCGGAAGCCCCCGTTCGAAGTCTTGTACGTGACCAGCTTGATGAAGGAGGAGATGTGGTTATCAAGGGGAGCAGGCTCGAGATCTACGCCGAGCTCTACAAGGAGTACGTCCAGTATAAGTCCTTGGAGGAGGGCAAAGGGATGCTCCTGCTCGGGAAAGCGAAGAAGGGGCACCATCTACTTGGAGGACATGAGCGAGCTCACCAAGTGTGTGCCGTCGAAGAAGCAGACGGCGACAAAGAGAAGCGGACCAAGTACGATGGGAGCGGCATCACGTTCGAGACCGGCGTCCCTGGGCATGTGAGCGCCTCACTAAGGCGCCTCCACCAGAACCTCGGGCACCCTCGCAATGAAGATTTGTGCCGCCACCTGCGCTTAGCAGGGTGCGAGCCGAGTATCATCAAAGCCGTCAAAGGGATGAAGCGCGAAGCCTGCCAGGCAACGAAGGGGGCCCAGATTTCGAGGCCGAGTACTTTGCCACGGCTCTTGGACTTCAACATGTGCGTCGGGATAGACATCATGTACGTCCACGACTCCGACGACGTGAAACACGCCTTCCTGAGCATCGTCGACTGGGCCACCACATACCACGTGGTTGCCAGGCTGGAGCGTGAAGCCGGACCAGATGTGGAGAAGGCGGTCAACGACATGTGGATCACGCCATTTGGTCCGCCTTCGACCTTCTCCATCGACCTTGACGGCAAGGTGCAAGCCGGAGTCGCAAGGCTGTGCGACTGGCACGGCATCAAGACCAAGGATGTCGCAGCCCAGGCCAAGTGGCAGGGCGGGATCACTGAGAGGCAAATTGGCTGGTTCAAAGGGATATGGGACCGCGTGAACTACGAGCTTGGCATCACCAAGGACGAAGTCGAAGTTGCCGGCACTCTGGTTTGCGCGGCAAAGAACGAGCTTCGCAGGAGGTGCGGTCATTCGCCAGTCCAATGGGTCTTCGGTCGCTCCCCGCATCTACCGCTTGAGCTCCGTGACCCTGATGGAGAAGAAGGCGTTTCATGGGACCTCACCCCGGACTCGAAGTTCCAGAGGATTTCCGCTATCCGGGCCAGCGCTCGGGTCGCCTTCCATCAAGCCCAAGGCGACGACCGCTTGCGCCGGGGGCTCATGCAAAGGGCAAGGACAGCCAAGCAGGACTACGACATCGGCGACCCCGTGCACTACTGGAACCAGCCGAAGGACCGGAGAAGACCGCACTGGGCAGGGCCAGCCGTTGTGGTCGGCAAGCAAGGCAGCAGCTACTGGGTATCACGTGGAGGTAGATGCCGGTTGACGGCACCAGAACACCTACGAAGCTCTGGACCTGAAGAGCTAGGCGAATACCTGGCGATGAAGGGGGTGAAGAAAGAAGTCGAGCGCCTACTACAAGAAGACGTCGACGACCCGGAGGTCTTCGATGGCGAGATTCCGAATGACCACCTGAGCGACTATGAGCCCAGCATCTTCAACGAGGAGCCCGAGCACGACGCGGTCATGCTCGATGGTGATGGAGACCATCACATGGAACAGCCGGACCCACCGGACCCGGCCACGGCATCTACTACACCTCCGGCCTTCCGCATCAAGCGCAAGACCCGCCCCGTGAACGAGGACAAGCAGGCCGACGAAGTGATGATGTTGAAGAGGGCGATGACCACAAGAGGCCAGGCCAAAAGACAAGAGAAGGAGCTAAAGTGGTCCGAGATCCCTGAGAGCGCCAGGGAGAACTTCAAGAACGCCGAGCGCACCCAGTGGGAGGAGCACATTTCCTACGACGCCTTGGAGCCACTTTCACTTCAGGAGTCACGGAAGATCCGCGCCACCGTTGACGCATCCCGGATCCTGCCATGTAGATGGGCCTACCGCGACAAGAACTGGGCAGCGAGACAGGCCTGGCTGTCGGGCGGTCAAGACCGAGGAGAAGAACCAGAGTGGAAGTGTAAGAGTAGACTCGTCATCGGAGGCCATCGCGATCCCGATCTTGGAATCGAGAACCTGAGCACGGATGCGCCCACACTCTCGAGGCCAGGATTCTCCTGTTTGATGCAGCGTTTGGCGAACGGTCTACGGGAGCCCGATCCTTGGCAGGCTTCAGCCGGAGATATACAGTGTGCTTTCTTGACTGGGGGATACATCAGCCGTGAGGAGCCGTTGTATCTGAGTCAGCCCACCACAGGGCTACCCGGCTTAGTGCCGGAGCAGCTGGTCCTCATCAAGAAAAACATCTTCGGACTGGCAACCTCGCCGAGAGAATGGTGGCAGGACCTCCAGAAAGGGATTTTTCAGGTCCACCTCGAGATCGACGGCAAGGACTACGCCTTCGACCAATGCCCCCTTGACCCGTGCATCTTTATGCTGCGAGAGATGAAGGACCACCGCTTCATCGGCGAGCCCATTGGCTACCTCGGGACCCATGTGGATGACATCCTGATTGTGGCCAGCGGCACAACCAGCGAGATGATTCGCAAGAGTCTCTCTTCTGCTTTTGCGATAGACCGCTGGGACATTGGGGACTTCAGTTATGTGGGGTCCGAAATCTCCTGCGGGGGGAATGAGGTGACGGTTACCCAGACCAAGTACGTCGAGAGCCGGCTCTTTCTCCTCGAGATCCCTCGGCACCTATCTGATGAAGAGCCGGCAAGCTTCGAATTGAGGACTGACAACCAAAGCCTCATAGGGGCTTTGAGCTGGCTTTCGGCCCAAACCCGGCCAGACTTGACGTGCAGCGTCAGTCTTGCGCAGCAACTGCAGAAGAACCCCACGATAGGGGACGTCCGCTTCACAAACCAAGTCTCCCAGCGGGCGACCATGTACAAGGATCGTGGACTCACCTTCAAGCCCATCGAGGAGGAGTACTTCGGGATCCTCGTCTACCACGACGCCGCGTGGGCGAATGCGCTCGAGGCTGAGCACGATGAGCCCTACTTCGAGCTCACTGCTGAGGACCGAGAGGCCGGACTCCAGAGAGAAGGGCCCTTCGCGGAGAAGGCCCGCAAGGCCAAGAGAATCAACTCCAAGGTCGCCTCGCAGCTCGGCGGACTCACTATGTTTGCGGACATGCGAAGCCTGATCGGAGTGCCGAGCAATGCTACGATCGGCGACTGGCGCTCGAAGGCGGGTCAGAGAGTCTGCAGGAGTACGTTTGGAGCCGAGACGCAGGCCTGCGTCGAAGGGGTAGAAGGAGGACAGTACCTACGGTCCTTCTACGAGACTGTCAAGACTGGCGAGCTGGTCACCGTTGACAAAGCCCGCTCACCTCTACTTTGCCTGAGCGACTGCAGATCCCTCTACGACCACGTGCACAAGGAGGGGGTACCGAGAGTGCCTACGGACCGGCGGCTAGCCATCGACCTAGCCGCTCTTCGCCAGAACCTGAGAGCTGAGCAATGGAGCACAAAGTTGCCGCTCGGTTGGGTCCCGAGCGGTCTCCAGTACGGAGACATTTTGACCAAGCCCAGCGATCCGAAGGATTGGTGGGACATGATAAGCACGCCTCTCGTCGTGCCAATCGACATTGGAGAGGTAACCCGTGCCAGTAGTTATTTTGGAGAGAAGAAGACCAGTGTGAAGCACCAAGATCGTATGTCATCCTGGATTAACGATTGTAGACTGCGCACTGCTGTTTGATTCCGCTACTGTGCATCAGCTGGTCAGACCTCTCCCAGAAACCCGGAAGCACCGCGCCACTCGAAGGCTTTTGGTTCGACGCGTGGAAAAGGTCCACATTCGTTGGAGGCGGGCCAATGGGCTTGCATAGCTAGCTTAGTGTCTTAAATTTAGGGTTTAGGGGCAGGGCTTCAGTCGTCTCTGCCTCTCTCCAACTTCCACCCTGTGGCAAGCTCGACGAGACTAAGCTTCGCTGTGCTCGAGCCTAAGGAAAGTCCCAACAATGCATACCCCCCACTCTGTCCCTCTGGGACATAAAACAGACTTACATATCCCAGTGAGGTTCTACTACGAACGAAATCGAAATCTTGCCAAGGACACCGATGAGACCTCATGCCTAGCTTAAGATCTGACCTTTTGAGAAGCCAGTTCAGCGTCATCTTCCCGGACCCCGGGAGGATCCACAATCCAAAAAGTAGATCCTTTCATGGAGGGTTCTATAACGTACCCTTAGAAGCATCGGGCCCCAAATTAGGGGATGTACTTTCTAGATCCTCCCGGGGGTCTGGGATAAGGCTGCATCCCCAAAAAGCAGACATCAGAGCCTGAACCTAACACAAGACAAACAAGCACGGGCTGATGAGCACAACCAAAGCTTCATCACCCTAAGCCCCATCCTTTAAGCCCTTAGACTTTCCCAAGAACCCCCCCTAAACCCTGAATCCGCGTACTTCTAATCAACCTCTAAACCATATTATAAACCCAATGAGCCCCAAAATTGGTCGCTAAAACCTAAACCCCTAAACCCCAACCCCCAAACGAAAAACCTAAACCCCTAAACCGAAACCCCCAAACCAAAAGCCTAAACCCCTAAACCCCAACCCCCAAACCATATGAACTAAACCCTAAACCCCAAAACCCCAGGAAAGGTCTCAGTGGCACTGCTACCGCTGCTGGCGCGGCCGAAGTTCGCCTCTGCGGCCTTTGCGTGCTGCCTGCTCTCGGGTACCTCAGGGCTTTCGAAGTTTAGTGTTTTGGGGTTGAGGGCTTAGGGTTTTGGGGTTTGGGGTTTAGGGATGTAGGGTTTAGGGGTTGAGGGCTTAGGGTTCTGGGGTTAGGGCCAGGGGTTTTAGGGATTTAGGGTTCAGGGGTTGAGGGCTTAGGGTTCTGGGGTTAGGGGTTTTAGGGATTTAGGGTTTAGGAGTTTAGGGTTTTGGGCCTGCTCTCGGGAACCTCAGGGCTATCGAAGGTTCGTTAAGTTCTACACCCCACTATGTATATGCATGCATGTGTGTTTGCGCCCGCACATGCACAAACACATAAATAAATAAAAAATCGAAACATATCAATATAAATATACATATTATATACATACACATGTATATGTATATACATATACATAAACAGATACATTATTAACTAAAGGGACAAAGCCCGAAACCCCCACCGCGAAGACAACCCAAAGCACGTTCACTGAACAAAACCATGCTAAATCTAAGCCCGAAGTACCCTAAACCCTTAACCCTAAACCCAAACGCTTGACCCTTTAAACCCTGAACCCTATTTATGGTTGCGCCCCGGCGGCCCCCCCCCCCTCCCCCCCCTTCCCCCCCTCCCCCCCCTATATGGTATCCTGTTATAGGTACTCTGATATATTTTCATAAGTAATCGACGTGTATTCTCCCCCCCCCCCCCCCCCTGTGGAACGGCATGGTTTGCCTTGTCTATCCCCCCCCCCCCTGCGGAACAGGATGGTTTGCCCTATTTTCCAACCCCCCCCCTGTGGAACAGGATAGTTTTCCCTTTTGCTCTGAGACACACACACACACACACGCACCATGTCTTTCTGAATGTATGGCCATTCTATCTCCCCCCCTCCTGTGGAACAGGATGGTTTTCCCTTTTTGCTCTGAGACACATACACACACACACACACACACACACACACACACACACACACACACACACACCGCGTGTCTGTGTATGTATATGGCATTCTCCGCACATGCTCTCCTGTAATGTTACGAAGTATTGCCCGGAAGCCTTTTCTAAGGAATTTTACATAGCCTTGCTTGGAAATTTTGGCACACGAGTAATCTTGCTGAGTGCTGCCTAGAACATGTTGCTTAGTGCTCGCAGGAAGCCCTGCTTGGAGGCCTTCGGCGTAGGAATAATGTTACTCTGTTTTGCCTCGAAACCCTATCCTTACTGTGGAAATTACGCGGGTGCGTAGCGCGCGGGCCAAGCGGGGTACAATGCGCTGTGCGGCGCGCCTGTAGCGGGAGTCCTCCAAGCCTCCAGGGTTCAGGCTCCTGTATATTTGGGGGGGATACCATTGGGGGGGGGGGGGGGGGGGGGGGGGGGGGGAGAGAACGCACAGCGCACAACCATTTATACCCTCCCCCATTTGCCCACGACCCTACACTCTCTGCAACAAGATGTTGTGCAAGGGCACGGGTATACATACATACACAAAGCATATTACATATATACATACATACATGCATGCATACATACACAGCGGGGGCGGGCTCTTTTTAAGCTCAATTTTGGGGTTCGGGATTCAGTTCAGGGTGCCTGACACGGATGCTTGTGCCCTGAAAACCGACACATAAAGCCTCATGAAAATCATACAACCCGCATTTACCAATCACAGTAGAACTGAACCCTGTGCCCTGTATGCAGCCTTTATGAGACCCTTATGGGTGGTTGTCAAAGTTAAAATCCCTTCGTGGGTTCCCCAAATAATAGGTGGCGTAATTTAATCGGCACCCAAAAAGGGACCATAATTTTGACAAACCCTAAACCCTAAACCCTTTGTGAAATATCCAGGCCGGACACCGCCCTGAGCAAGCTGAGCCCAGGCTGATCCTCACTGTGCAGGGGGGCTCTTGAAGCTTAACGTGTGGTTTCGAGCGGTTTAGGGTTTAGGGTTTATGGTTTAGGGTTTCGGGCTTAGTTCAGGGTTCCGAGTCTACAAATAGTACCTACCTTGGGGTCTAAAGTCTACACATACGGTTGATGATACAAACCCTGCATTGCCCATCATACTGAATATACCATCATGCTCATAGATAAAGGTCCTTAAGGTAATGCAGGATTTATAAATTTATAACATCAACCGTAGCAGCTACTTTGTTTCCGGTTTAGGCTGACCGGGTTGGTTTAGGGTATAGGCCCAACGTTGAGGGTTTTGTTTAGGGTAGGTGCGTTGGGTGAGGGTTCCTGTCAAGGAACTCTAGGGGTTTGAAAAATGGGACCGAAATGGGTTTGGGGTTTAGGGTTTAGGGTTTGGGGTTTAGGGTTTAGGGTTTAGGGTTAACGGTCTGGGGCATTGGGCTTCACCTTTTAGCTTCCTTAACCTTTCATTGGGACTCTCTTGTGAACACGATTTTCAGGGTTTAGGGTTCCTTGAAGGGTACGCATAATGTTTCAATGACGGGGCATATACTTGATATATACATATGCACACATAATGAATATTTGTTTAGTTTTGGGGTTGCAGGGTATGCTGGCCTTGAGTCTAGGGTTGCACGCGGGGTCCTCAAAGAGCTGGATACCGGCAGTTTAGGGTTTAGGGTGTAGGTTTTAGGGTACCTCCTAAACCCTAAAAAATACTGGTTGCTGAAGGGCCGCGGCTGAGGATTTTATAGGGGCGTAACTTCTGTGTGTAGATTACATACAGAGGTCGGGCTACTGGAGACTACCCAGAGAGCCCAATACCCCTTGATTAAGCAATATGGCTTAAATTGTATAGGGCTTCATATTATGATTTAAGGTCTGTTCCTTAATTAAAGGGTATTGGGCTCTCTGGGGACTATGTCCCCAACTACAGCCACATAGCCCCTCTTCTGGCTGCCGGTCGTTACCCTCAAATAGGACTCGGAAGGCTAGTTGTTGCTGCAAGTATGTCCTGGCATGGTGACTCCACGTTTCTGCAGGCAGGCCTTTGTTGTCCCTCTCAGCGCTGCAACCCTAGACGCAAACCCAAATGAACTTCGATGCTTGATGCTGATACTGAGCTCGGGTAGATCTAAACCAATCAGTGGGGCCTGAACACTTCGCATTCCAATCATGTCAGAGCTACAAGTGATAGTAGTTTTTTCGGACCAAATAACAGATCACCTAAGGCGTTTAGTAGGTTTTTCGGACCAAATCACAGATCACCTGAGGCGTTGTGCGAAGTAGGTTCTGGAAGTCCTCGAGGAGAGGAAATGTGGCGAGTTGGACCCTAAACCCTAAACCCTGAACCCTAAAACCCTATAAAGCCTAAACCCAATAAAGCCTAAACCCTATAAACCTATAAACCCTGTAAACCCTATAAACCCTATAAATCCTATAAACCCTAAACCGGGAAGCCCTATCAGCAGAACTCTTCACCCGACGCCCGCTCCTCGACCCAGCCGCCCCCAGCTGCGGCGGACAGCATGCAAGAGCCAGTTTTGGTAAGGAAGGGTATCCTGAGCCACAGTTTAGGGTTTAGGGTTTAGGGTTGCAGGTTGCTGTTAAAGGGTTAAAAAATATTTGTTAAGGAAAGGTATCCTGAGCTGCAGACGGTTTGGGGCTACTACTTGAAGGCTCATCGATAACCGCCCAACCCCGACACCTAAAATGAACAGTGCCGGGCACGCTGCAGCGGTTGAAAACCATAACCCCCTTAGACCCCAAGTTAAGAATATCATATGCAATAGCCCCTTGAGCTTCTACCGCTGTAAAACACCGAACATATATTATATTTGGGTCAAAGCTAGTTCCCAAAACCAAAACGGTCATTCAAACACGTGCGGCCTCGCTGGCCTAATGTAGGGCCTTAATAATTAGAATAGGGTTCTGGGGCCCATTATACTATAAGTATAAGAAGCAAACTCCAAAATAGTACAGGTAACTGTTTAGGCCCCTATATTACGTCCTACGGTGGGACTTCTCTCGGCCTTTGGCTTCGGCCTCCTTACCGCTCCCTTCTCGCTGCAGCTCTGCATGAGGGTTTAGGGTTTAGGGTGAGCATACCATAGCAGACCCGAAACCGTGACCCACACTTCGAGTCAAATCCCCTCAGCCCTGCATCCCCTTTTTGCAAAACCCCGAACCCTAATCTCTAAACGCTGAAGCCCTAAAACCCCATAAACCCTATAAACCCTATAAACCCTAAAACCCTAAGCCCTGAAAGTCGTAATAAACCCTAATCCTTAAACCCCAAACCCTAAACCTACCCCCCCCCCCCGCCGCCCCCCTACACAGTCAGAAAAGAGCCCTTGCAGCTGAGCCGCAGCTCGCCCTCACCGTTGCAAAGGGTGTTTTGAGGCTCGGGGACCTGCGACAGAAGACTCGTGGGGCTTTAGGTTGGAGTTTTGCCTCAATGAACCAAACCCTACTTTTTTTGTCGGGTCCCTATGAATTGCATGTTATAGGGTTTATAGTAAGAACCTACAAAACAGTAGGGTTTGGTAGTTGAAGACTAGGGTTTAGGGTTTGGGTCCGAGGTTTAGAGCTTAGGGTCTAGTCTTCTGGGATAAGGTTTGGGGTTTGGGGTTTGAGGTGTAGGCTGTAGGTTCTATGGGGATTTAGGTCTAAACACTAACACGAAGCCGTGTGAGGCTTTACGGGCTCATCTACAGCTTGTAGTGTTCTTGGTCCGAGGCCTGAAGTTCCTGGATTTATGCCGCCTGTTATGACATAGCGGCTTGTATTTTAGTTGTAATGTGAGGCACCGAAAAGGGTTCTGCAAGGGCTGGGACGGATGCAAGGATAGCAGTTAAACAACTTGGGTAGTTGTCAAAAGTAAGGTCCCTTTTTGGGGTACCCTAAATAATAGGTGCCGTATAACAGGGACCCAAAAAAGGCCCATAATTTTGACAACCATCCAATATGACAGGGGCCAACGGGTCCGAGGGTTTAGGGCGGTATAGGGTGATACTGCTGATGGACAATATCCTGCATGACCCCCAGGACTCTAAACTATGGGAACTATGGTATATTCCTTGTAATGGGTAATGCAGGATTTTGTCCATCAGCAGTAGTATTTGTATTTTGTCGAGAAATGTGGTCATCATTGCAGGCTAGGGTAAAACTAGAATCGATGAAGAGTTTTAGGTGGTTGCCGAATCCACAGAAAACATGTCAGGGTTTTCGGGTTTACTGTTTCGGGAATCATGTCTTTAGCACGGCTGAGAGGGTCCCTGAATTCTGAGCCATGCAGGTGGCAAGCTCAGAATCGAGGTAAGTTTAGTCTGTCTGCGGCTTCGAGGCTTGATTTTCTGCGGGTTTAGCGTTTAGATGCGTTTAGGGTGGTCTTGTTGGATTTAGAGTCGAACGACTATACATGTGTGTTTGCAGGAAGGTGCCAAACATATTCCCTATGTCGGGTCTGGACGTACGGCGCCGGGGTCAGGCTACACCCGAAATCCCAATGCATGTTGTCAACGCCAGCTAAACGGCCGAAGCCCAAAATCTAATATAGGGGCCTCAATAACTACCTATACTATTTTGGAGTTCATGATAGAATTACGGTAGAATGGCACCAAAACCCTATTCTAATTATTCAGGCCCCTACATATATTAACCCCAAACTACACTTGGAGGATCATGGGACGTAGCAAGTAAGGTTGTAAGTACCTCAATTGGGGTTATAAGTAGCTACAAGTTGCCTTACAATTATAACCCTCATTAGTTACGAAGTCCCCTGACCCTTTAAGCACCCTACCCCCCAGTCATAGAACCCTTATAGATCCCTTTAAAGGAGGCCTTATAGAAACCTTATAAGCTCTGGGCTCGAGTTGCCTTCCAGGGGTAGAGCTGTTCACTACAGAACCTCGAGGGACCGATCATGTCGCTGCGTTGGGACTTTCCGTGTTCTGCCCTTTCCTTGGGTCAGAGGGTGAACCTGGTTGTTCAAGTTCCAGGCGAGGACGGCCTCTGCACAGGCTTGTGGCATGGGGACGCCTATGTCTGCCACGATTTGACTCGAGGCATTTGGACTCTGATTGGGTACCAGGTGACGCTTCTCACGGACTCACATGCATTTCTTTCGAAGACTTCTGGGTCGCAGGCATTTCGGAAGCCTCTTTTTGACTTTGGATGTATTCTTCGCTTGAGAGACGTCTAGGCGGGCATTGGAGGCATGACTTCAGGAACCACCTTTGCAGGATGCCGAACCATCTTGGCTGTTGACCGTTGCAGTGATGCCTGCCATACTTTGCAGCGCAACAACATACCAGCACTGCAGGGCGACGTGTCTCGTCCGGAAACAGTTGAGGAGATTCTACGAGCCCACCCAGGAGTTGGCAGCATCCTGGCTGCCAGCCCGACTGCCTCTTCGGGATGGCAAAGTGGATTGCACAGCATTACATAACTTGCTGATCCTCGCTTGGCTTCTGCAGTCAGATTGCATATTGCTTGAATGTGCTGTTGACCTTGCCGCTTGCCCGGAAGCCCACAACCTGCTGAAGGCATTCACCGAGAAAGCAGGCCTCGTTGCCTCCTCTGTTCAGCTGGAGCTCGCTGAGCAATGGGCAAGCAGACGAAGCCGTTGGTGGTATGTGCTGGTGCCTGCCAGCCTTCCACCTTTGCATTTGCCGCCTTGGTCTCCCTGCACCCCTAGGACCCTTGTCGGTTTTGTCCTCCCTGAGTTCCCTAGTTGGCCGGTTGAAGTAGAGCAATCTCTTGCCTGGACCGCCCAAGAACTTGAGATGTTTTCGGACCCCCGGTACGGTGCTGACTGCCGGCTTCTCGATCTGAACGAGCAAGCACCCACTGCTTTGCATTGTTGGGGAGCCGTGCTCACTCCGTGCCCATGCGGCTGTCGCTCTGAAGGTCTTCCTCCCTCAGTACTCGAGACGCAAGGCCTGTGTGGTTTTGGGGTTTACTCTAGCACCCTAGAAGGCATTCGGCTCCCACATGCAGCCGAGGTTGGACTTCTGAACAGTCTGCCGGCAAGCCATGCTCAGGTTTCCAACGCCAGAGCCGCACTGTGCCTCACTGGCAACCTCACAGCCCCCTTGCAAGCCCTCTGGGTCTATAGCCAGTTGAAGATCTGGGCCGCCTGCTTGCCCAACAGTGAAGTTGCCACTCCCGCTGCGGATCTGGTCTGTCAGTTCAAGTCTCTGCTAAAACAGTCCTGCCTCGATACTTGGGATTTGCCATCCTGGAGAGTTCCCGGTGCCATCTGGATCGAGCTCGAGGGCTCCTTAACTCAGGTAAGCATTCCTGGGCCCACTCCTGTGCAAGAGCTAGTTGAGGCCGAGAAAGCACTGGCCGGCCCTGGCTACAAGGTTCAGGTTCTTCGTAATTTCCTGGAGCTTCCCTTGGGGGTCCTGCTGCGCCCAAACCCCAGAAACTCACCTTACTGCGTGCACATCTCAAGCAAGGCCTCCCAGAGAGACCCTACATGGCAGGATGCTCAGGCCCTTATCGGCACCTCCGACATTACAATTTGGGCCGGCCTCTTGAGACTTCAGGCTGCTCTGCCAAGCGCCAAATGTTTTGTGGTCCCGCCTCGCAGTGCCACCAGCCTTCTCGACCACCCGGAGCATTGTGATGCCACCTTTGCCTGGCCTCCTTATGCAGACCTCTGCCTTTTGGCCTTTGTTGATCAGGCTCACTGGTCTCTTCTTGTGTTGACCGCGACAGAAGGCGGAGCTGAAGCCGCCCACCTGGACGGGATGCCAGGACGCAGCACGAAAGCCGCGCAACTTCTTGCCGCCCGCTTTTGTGCCCTCTGTGGCACGCAGCTGTTAGGTTTTCAAGCTGGCTGCAATTGGCAGCAGAAAGGGCCCAACGACTGCGGCCCAATCACCCTTGCCCATGCGACAGTTGCTCTCTCCGGTGGGACTGTTACGCCCTCCTTTCTCAGTGATGCTCAGAACTTTGTCAAACACATGCCCTTCCACAAGGCTTTGCTTTATGGGTTCGGTGGGCTTTCCGAGGAACTTCAGGGCCAGTTGCAGTCCACCCTCCTTGAGAAGGGTGTCCCACAAGACAAAGTCAAGGACCGGATCAAGGATGCTATCGTTCGGCTCGGCCCGGGGCCGATCGCCTCCGCACTTGCCGCTGGCAATGTTTGGCAGGCCTTGAAGGCGGCCGGGTCCATCCCCGGCGCTATGTTCAGATGGGTCAGACCTGAAGAGGTCAAGGCTTTAGCCGAGTCCAAAGCATCAGCCAGGTTCGGTGCGGCTGTTGAAAACCCCAGGCAAAAGAAGCAGAAGGCTAAGACGAAGGTTGCCAGGCCTGCCTTGCAGGTTGACCCGGAATCCCTGCAATTGGTCCCAGGGTCTTTTCAGACCACAGATGGCTCGCCTCTTGCCGCCTGGACACAATTACGGGCCGGCTGTCCTACTACCGGGACGAAGCAGGCATCCCTTGGACCGAGGTCGCCCAGGCTCCGCTTCGGGCCCTTGTGCAGCACATCCCCTGCCTTTCCCTCTGTAAGGACCCTAACTGCCACGGCGACTGCTCCTGCTTCCACCCTGCCATTGAGGAATCTGTCGACCGTATGATCCTGGATGCTTGGGGCCGCTCATTTTCCAAAGTCGACGGAGGCCGAACCGCGCCAGAGCAAGCTGACCTTTTTCAGGTGATGATCAGAGTGCCCTGCTCTGCACTGAAGCTGCTCCATCAAGCCACCATTGCAGGCTTCTATTTTGAGCCCCGTGCTGCTGATGGGTTTAGCCCTCACGCCAGCTATGCTGTTGTCTGGCTGCCAGGTAAGGATAAGGCCCAGGTGCAACATGTTCTGCGCACATGTGACAAAGCGCTTGCCATCACCCGGCTCGGTCGTCGCTTTGGCATTCGAGTCAAGGAAGCCGATGAAAAGGCCGTGCATGCCACCCTGAAACCAGAGGTTGACTTTATCAAGCTGCGAATCTCTGCTCGCTTCCGGCTGCATCCACTGCCACATGGCATGCAAAGGTCTCATCTTGCCAAGCTCCTGAAAGAGTGGAAGTGGCCTGCCAGGCCCCTCCAACCAGCTAGGGGGGATGCGGCTGGTAGTGCCTGGGAAGTCGGTGCCGCAAGTGGGCCCCCTGCGCCTACTATGCCCGCTGGGGCCCAATATGTGCTGATCACCAAGCTTAAAGACTTGCCGTCTGGTCCCAGGACTCCCGCTGTCTGCGCTTCCAGCAAAACTCGAAGACACATGCTTCGCGATGAGCCCAATTCCGCTTCTGGTTCAGCCGACCCTTGGGCAGGCGGCAACGACCCTTGGAGCCTACACCGGGCACCTCCCGGGCTCCCTGCTCCTCAGGTTAAGCCGGGACATGCAGGAAACAATTTGGCCCAAATTCGCACCGAGCTCCGAGAGGACCTGCAATCACTTATGCAGAAGCAGCTCGCCGAGCATGCAACCCCTGCCTCTGAGTCCACCTCTACTGCCACTGCCAGCCAAGACGCCCGAATCCAGCAGCTCGAGGTTGGAGTCCAAGAGCTCCAAATGCAGAATCGCAAATTTGAAGGGTGGTTTCAAAGCTTTGGCACACAGCTCTCTGAGAGCAAAGCCCAGGTCACAGACATGCAGAAAGCCATGCAAGGCCAACAGGCTGATGTCGCAAAGCTCCGTGGGGAGGTCTCGTCTGCCGTCGGCTCTCTCAAGTCCGACATGAATAGCCGCCTCGACGACCAGCTCCAGCGCATCGAAGCCTTGCTCAGCAAGAAGTCTCGCACGGAGTGACTAGCTCACTCTGGATGTCGGTCACAGCCTGCCGGCATGCCAGGTCGTTCTGCTCCATACTTGGGCTGGTTTTGGCGCTTTTTGATTCCTGTCGCCATTGCACTGCAACCGGCATCCGCTCACCCAACTTTCTTCCCCGCCTTGCTTCGGGTTGGTGAGGCTGAGAACCCTGGTCCCTGCTTTATGCTCGGAACCTCCAATCCTACTGGGTTGAGGTCAAAAGAACCTCTTGCGGTTGAGCTCGGTCCCGGACTCTGGCACTTCAGTGAATCTCAGTTGTCTGCAGTTACTCTCAGGTCCTGCTCTGGCACTCTTCGTTCCCTCGCCAAAGCACGAAACCGTCAAGTTCGTATTACCTCGGGCGCTCCCGCCGCCTTGCGCCCTGGGTCCCTCTGGGCCGGTGCTTGGTCAGGTGTGCTGACCATGTCTGACTTTCCTTCCAGGCCGCTGCAATTGCACTGGGGGCCTGATGCATTCGCCACTGGAAGGTTGCAGGCTACTTTTCACTGTGTTGGCTCCCTGCCACTCATCACCGCTAATGTCTACGGGTACCCTGCAGGACCCACTTTCCCTGATGCCCGGCATCGCACAGATCAACTTCTTGAGATCCTCACACGGGAAATCGTGATCGGTCGCTCGGGTGCGCGGGCCATCGTCGGGGATTTCAATCATTCCCCTGATGTGCTGAACCAAGTCAGCAGCTGGCGCATGCATGGCTGGCAAGAAGTTCAGGTTTTGGCCTCAGAGCGGTGGGGCCACACTCCCACCCCTACATCCAAGGGTGCCGCCTTTCGTGATCACATCTTTGTCAGCCCTGAGGCCGCGGCCCTCCTCACTGCAGTTGAGGTTCGTGATGTCTTTGCTGAACACAGTACTGTAATTGCTAGTCTGTCTCTGGATGGGGTTCACCAGGCTCAGACTTGGCCTTTGCCCAGCACCATCCCCTGGGCCAACATAGACATCCCTGCTTGGCAAGCCTCGGCCCCTGCCTCTGGAGCCTCCAGCTCTGATGCCACCACGTGGCTGAAACAGTTTTCTAAGGGCTTTGAGGCAAGCCTTGAGCTGCACAGCAATGGGCTCCCCGATGCTCGGCTACCCAACCGGTGCCACGGCCGGGCCTCACGCACCAAGCCCCTGCCTTCACGCATGGTTGCCCCTCCTTCCGCTTCTCGGGAGGGCGAGGAGGTCATTGGCCACAGCCTCCTAAGCCTCGAAGTAAAGAGATGGTTCCAGCAACTGAGACGGCTGCAATCCCTTGTGCATGGCCTCAAGGCTGCCAATCTGTCACCTTCCGCCGTTGAGTATCGCTCTGCACTGTGGCACGCCATTACTCGTGCCAAGGGCTTTCGCAATGGCTTTTCCGGATGGTGGCAAACCCGTCACATTAAGTTGCAAGGGACCCCCGCTGCACTTCCACGCGAGGTGCCCACACTGCAGATTGCCACTCTTTGCTTCACTGATTTCCGTGAGAATTATCGAAGGTTCGAGGCCTGGAATGCCAGGCAAAGGCAGTCAGTCTTGAAGGAACGCTACGAGCATGACAGCAACCTGCTTTTTCGCGACCTGCGAGATGACAGTCCTGAACAGGTTGACTGCCTTGTGGTACACCGGACCCACACGGTCCTTGCCACTGAAGCCGACACCGGCCAGGTCCAACTTGACTCGGACCTAGATACTCGTGGCTCCTCCGAGTGGCGCCTCGATGGCCAACCTGTTGTTATCTCCAGCCCAGACCAATGTGTGGCCACCATTTCACCCTCAATTTCCGTTTCTGTTGATGCCGAGCTTGAGCAAATACAGTATCTCTCCTCGGTGGAAGACATTTGTCACGAATTCGTTTGTCTCTGGGAGCCACGCTGGCGCAAACACCACAACCTGCCGCCCGATCACTGGCATCGGGTCCTCAACTTCGCTGCCGCCTACCTCCCCACGGGTCATTTTGACCTACAGCCTTTGTGCCTACAATCCTGGAAAGCAGCTATCAAGCACTTCCGTCCGAGGGCTGCTCGAGGTCCTGACGGTTACGCCTTAGCCGACCTCCAGCACATGCCGGACAGCCTCACCACTGAGCTTTTGGATTTCCTCTCCTCAATCGAGGCCGGGGCACAAGTGTGGCCAGATCAATGGCTTCTCGGATTTGTCTGCGGGCTGAAAAAGCCGAACAATGTCCAGGGAGCAGAGGGCTACAGGCCCATTGTACTCCTCTCCATCGTTTATCGTTGCTGGAGTGGTCTCCGGGCACGACAGCTTCTTCGTCACTTCAAGAAAATCATGCCCGCCACGGCTCTTGGCTTCCTGCCTGGCCGTGAAACTACTGATTTTTGGTGGCAACTTGAGGCTTTGATCGAGCTTTCCTGTATGGAGGGAACGGAGCTTTGCGGTTTCTCTACTGACATTGTTAAGGCCTTTAATGCTCTGCCTCGCGAGCCAATTTGGCGGATTGCTGCCCAAATCGGGTTCCCCTCTTCGGTGCTTATCCCCTGGCGAAACTTTCTGGGTCGCTTTGAGAGGCGCTTCCTGATAAGGCAATGTGTTAGTGAGCCCCTGCTCTCCACCGCTGGCTTCCCCGAGGGGTGCGCGTTAAGCACTACTGCCATGAACGTGGCATGCCTGATCTTCCATTCATATCTTGAAGTTTTCGGCCGTGGAATTACTCCCCACTCTTACGTTGACAATTGGGCCTGCACCGCAGGCACTGCAGGGCAGCTTGCTCTGGGGGTCAACCTCAGCCACTGTGTGATGGATTTGCTCGACCTCACTCCCGACGACAGCAAAACATACACCTGGGCGGTCCAATCGGGTTCCCGCAAACAGCTCCAAGCCCTTGGCCTCCCAACTTGTACCCACGCACGTGAGCTTGGAGGTGTTCTGTCGTTCGGTCGTGCCACTCGTAATGCCGCTCTGGTGGAGCGCTGCCACGACACTGCTGAGTTGTTTGCTCGCCTCAGGCGCTCCCCGGCCCCACTGCGGCAAAAACTGTACGCACTGCCCAGAAAAGTCTGGGCCCGGGCCCTGCATGGCATATCCATCTGTCCTCTCTCAGAGGCCCAGGTTCACTCCTTGCGTTGCTCGGCTGTCAAAGCTCTTCGGGTGTGTCCTGCAGGCAGCAGTGCCCTTCTCAGGCTATCCATCCACTCTGACCTTGAAGCCGATCCCGGCTTCTATCAATTGTGGGTCGTTATCCGTGATCTCAGGCGGATGTGTGCCAAGCATGCTTCGGTGGTGGACAAATGGACCTCTTTCATGCAAGGTTTTTCTGGACGGCTTCAACACGGCCCGTTCTCCAAGCTGCTGTCCGTCCTCAACAGGATCGGCTGGAGTGTTGCCAAGCCACCAGTTGCAATGGATCGGCATGGAGGCTCTGTTGACCTCCTTTCCCTTCCCACCTTGACCCTCCGACGTCTGTTGGAGCAAGCTTGGTTAGACCAAGTGGCCACCGACCACCGGCACAGAAAGCAAATGCTCGACCTCACTGGCATTGATCGTGCCCTCCTTCGGCGCTCCGAGAAGGGCCTGACACCGCTCCGCCTGGCACAGCTCAATGCCCTTCGTTCCGGAGCCTTCCTTTTTGATGCAGCTCACAGCAAGTATGATGTCACCCTCACTGGCTTCTGTGCCCTTTGCCAGGTGGAGGACACCCCTGAACACAGGGTTTGCCATTGCCCTCGCTTCTGTGAAGCAAGGACCGGTGTGGAATGGGTTTGCCAGATGTGGAATGACCTCCCGGTGTGCACTACGCACCACCTGCTTGCTCCCGCTTCGCCATTCCTTCCAGAGGTGCGACAATGCCTGCTTGAATGTCCGGATCTTTCGGGCAACTTTGCATCCACGGCCACCGGCCCTGGGATCCAGCACTTGTTCACCGACGGTTCCTGCATTTATCCCGACCTGCCTGAATTGGCTTTGGCATCCTGGGGCACCGTTAATGCAAGTTCGGGTCAGATCATCGGCAGTGGGCCCGTACCAGGTTTGGCCCAAACTATTCCGAGGGCTGAAATGTGGGCGGCGATTTGCTCTCTCAAATGGGGCCTCTTTTGCCGCGTTTCCGTCATTGTCTGGTCTGACTCCGCCTATGTGGTGAAAGGCATTCGTGCCATCCTGGCGAACACTTTCGTGCTTCCTCGGGAAAACTTCGACTTGTGGGCCCTGATTGCTGACCTTGCTGCACAATACGAACACGGGACACTGCAAGCTCAGCATGTCCCCTCTCATATTGATGTTCAGGCCTGCGACTCGCCTCTCGATGAGTGGTTGGCTCTCTGGAATGACAAAGCCGACAGGCTTGCGGCCCATGCCAACGGCAATCGGGGGCTCAAACTGGCTGGTGCACATCAGGCTGCTGTCTCCTTCTACATTGAGCAATCCGCCATCCTGGAGGCCCTGTTCCTGGTGTACTCGCGTATTGCCGACCTCACTTGCGCACGGGCCAAGAGGCCACACAACGAACTGGAGCCTGAGCTCGAGACAGTTGCCCCAGCTGCTGTTCCAGCATCTGGAGCCTGTCTCCGCTTTACTGATGAGATTCCGCTCGACTGGCTACACCAAGTTTCACTTGCATGCCAGGCTTTTCCAAGCCCCTTTGTTCGCAAGGTTTTTGAGTTTCTTTACTTGCAGGACGCTGCCTCCCCAGAATGTTTCAGGCTCAGTTGGTTTGAACTGGTTGTGATTTTTCTTCAGGGTCGTTTCGCTGACTTTCCGGTTCGTCATCTTTCTTCAGGTCTCTGGGTTGAAGCGGCTTCCTCACCCTTCTCTCAGCTGCCCACCACCCTGATTGTACAGCTCAGGGTTTTTAGGCATGTTCTGCGAAAGGGTTTGCGGGCACTCAAGCTTGGAGGGCTTTGCATCGATGGTATAGATTTATCCGCTCTTGGGGTGGGGTTTCCTCAGGACGGTGTTATTGTTGGTTGTGATTCGACAGCCCTTGCAGCTGCCCGTCTAGCGATCTCCAGGTTTTGCACAGGCCGCACAGTACAGAAGCTTGCGGCGCTGGCTCGACCTTTTCCTTTGGACTAGTCCGACAGACCTGGACCGCTGCGCGCTGCACCGCCCTGCTGTGCACGCGCCCTCAGACCGTTTGAGATATAGAAACCTTATAGATCCCTTGAAAGGAACCCTTATAGAACTCTAGCTACTAAGTCCCATGACCTTCTAAGTATACTACCCTAAACCCTAAACCCTATACCCTAAACCCTATACCCTTAAACCCTATACCCTATACCCTAAACCCTATACCCTTAAACCCTATACCCTAAACCCTAAAACCCTATACCCTAAACCCTAAACCTTAAACCCGGTCCCATGACCCTTTAATCACACCCAGCCCGAAAGTCTGAACTGCCCAAACCCCCAAACTCCCCAATCACCTCTAAGAGAAGCCACGTCCGGGGTGGCACCTTTTCCTGCGCCCGAGGATCTGGTGTCTATAGAGTTTGGGAGTTTCGGGATGTAAAGTTGCGGGATTTGGGCCTTAATTGCGGCTTTAAGCTTAGAGTCTATCCCAAAGGGTACTTTTGGGGCCCAAATACCCACTAAGTACCTAAGATATTGCCACTTGGACCCTTTGGGTAGGGTATGGTGGGGTACTAGTACTACTGCTACGCCGACTACTAGTACAAGTGTTGCTGGTTCATGCTGGTGCTGATATTGCCGCGAACCTACTACCAGTCCTACTGCTGAGAAGATTAAGGGCACACGTAGCAATCCTCTTCAAAGACATAAGTAAGGAACGTCATACTAGTTCAAAAATGAAAAAGACATTGGTACAGTGATGGTCAGCATCAGAGAAGCAACGCAGAGTCGACGGGACACGCTGGCGACACTGTGCAAGGGCCAGGGACAACAATGTGACCCAAGGTCTGTGTTCCTTCCATGGGGCTCTGAATAGCCCAAAGTATGTATTATTTACAGAGTTTCGAACCCAAAGTAGATATTACTTATATACCGTAGAGCTTTGGAACCCAAAGTGTGTACTGTTTGTCTACTTGGAGCCCTTGGGTTATTTGTCGTCCAAGGCTCTGTCTTGTCACTGTTCATGTTGAGCATCAAGCTTGTCGCGGACCTGCGAGCTTTCGGCCAAGCTTTGTAGACAACAGCCAGGGGGTTTAGGGATACGGTAGGGTTTCTTTGTAGGTTGATTGTAGTCCTGTAGTCTTCAGGAAATTGAGGTGAGGGGTTGAGTCTGAAGACCCAGCCTTGGAAGCTGGGCGACACAAGTTCAAAGCAGTATCTGTCAACATGGGGTGCATTCTCGTGCTTTGCTCTGGTAGGGATGCGGTGCAAAACTTGCACTTATCTTCTGGAGCGATTCTTCCTGGTATGAACAAACAACGAATTTCAGCAGCATTTAGGGCCGAGCTCATGGTTGAGGAAATGCGAGGTGCTACACAGTCTATCAGAGTTGTCACAGAGAGACTACGAGGAGAATTACGCATCAAGCTGGGGCAAAAGAAAGGATGCTAAAGCTATGATGGCGGTGACAAGCGTGAAAAAGATGAAGGTGATGATGACGATGATCACAAGAATGTCCACAGTCCACAGTGGTTACACTAGAGTTCGCGATGATTATGGTAAGGCTGGCGATCAACACTGTTATCTTCAAAACGAGGAAACACAGTAAGTCACAATGCTGCTGAGGCTGATCCATTCAGACATGCTGCTCGACAATGAGACATGCTCTGTCCCAGTCCTCAGAAGCATCACGGCTGCGCGGACTGCAAAAATCTAAATGAACCCGAAGAGCCCCTCCATCCCATGGGCCCATGAACCTTGAGAACCCATGAGCCCGCAAAAAAGAGGGCAGAAGCCCTAAACACCCGAAAGCCCTGCTCTACGACAAGGGTCTTAGCGACTGTAGAATAGGATTGCAGGGTATGTTGAAGCACATAACTTCATAGACAGTACAAGGGTACATGCTTGTAGCTGTTTATTCCGACACCTTTTCTGACTCCAGAGCCCGAAGCCCTGAGCACTGTGCAGGAATTGAGGAAAAGTCCTAAACGCAGTGGCAGAAAGAGATTCACAAACACCTTAGAAAAAGATGTATACTGCATACACTGGAAGCCTTGAGAAAGGCCGTGCGTCTCGATACCCTAGGATAAATGTCAATTTCTCACGTTGTCTACGAGGTCGTAAAGAGTCATTCAGTGATCCGTAGGTCTGGAACGGCTCCTCTATCATACAAGCACTCTAGGGCCAACAAAGTGTACACCGACGGGTACACGGACCGTATTCTCAACCTGCCCCATGGCATCCAAGCTCAACAAAAGTCTACTATCAGCGAATAACACCCAAACCCAGCCCCTATAACACCCGACAGAAATCCAGCAATACTCTGCAAACACAACTCTTAAATCATTTTCAAAGTCTGGATTGAAGCCCAACGGAATGCCCAGCCGTGGCATGGTGTTTCTCGTGATTAGTAATATTGCTACTGTTACAGCAGAAGCCTAAACGTCGGAAGCCCGATAGCCTCAATCCCTAAGAGCAAAGTATAGGGAATCCCAGCACGATTTGTCCTTAACTAGGTTTCCAACTTTTTGGACTTTACAATACTGCTGATGGACAAAATCCTGCATTACCCATTATAAGCAATATACCATAGTTCCCATAGTTTAGAGTCCATAGGGTCATGCAGGATTTTGGATTTTGTCCATCAACAGTATGATTGTCCTGACAGCCAGGAGTCCGTCTGCGGAGCTTCGGGGACCGGCTGTGGGGTCGGCTGGCGATCGGCCATTCTCCTTCCCCAAAGGGGCCTATGCACCTAGATGGGGGATACTTATCCAAACCCCAATAGCAATTCCTACTCACTTTCTACTGATGTGGGTGCATGGGAACCTTTGGGCTAGGCTAAGCCTATTCGGGGTTTGATTTCTGTTTTGTATCTTCTGAGCCCCAGTTCTGCTTAAGGATTTAGGCCCGCTCAGGGTCTAGGGTTTATATATGGTCTAGCGTTATGGGTGGAATTCCGCCCGTGATCTTCAGGAGATGCTAGCCTTATTGCTACTGCATGCTCTTGTTGTTCCTGAGGATAAGCATCGTATTGGCTTTTGTTTGGTGGCTGTAGGTACACCCGGCACTCTTTGCAATCTATCAATCTTGGAACATAACTCTAACCGCTATTACTTTGCGAGCATCTTCGTGCAAGTCCGCCCCCCAACTTAGACGAGGAGCCCTTAAACCTGGGATGCATGGGCCTCGGATAAGGCGCCCTCAACCCACAGCCGATCAACAAACCGAGACAAGCCCAAAACCCAACAGGAGTTGGTTTCTGATTAGCAGCAGGCAAGGAGGGAGAACTACATCCAAGGGCATTCACCCAAAGAATGTAGTATGTTTTGTGTTGGATAACCTACTTATGGTTGCTATAATGTATCAGCTTCACGAAAATTCAATCGCGTGGAGGAATGGAAACATGAAGACCCTGAACCCTAAAACCCTAACCCCTCAACCCCTAAACCCCAAATCCTAAACGCCCATATCCTAAACCCCTTAACCCTAAACTCTAAACCCTGAACCCCTCAAACCCCTTAACCCTAAACCCCAAGCCCTAAACCTTTTCCTAGACCCCCCAAGTACCCCTTGAAGGGCTCTGATATTTCTCACTAAGAAGTAATTCGGGGCTACAGTAAAGGGTAGTTGGGGGGTCTAGGTTAACCCTAAAACCTCAACCCAAACTCTAAACCCTGCAAAGAAAGGCCTCCATCTCTCCGCATATTCGCGGGGGAGGCACGCGCTCATGAGAAACTTTGCCTCGAGGGTGTCGTTGGCTTCGTTTTTAGATCTGGGGTTTCTGAAGGGATGTCTTGGGTTTCATAAGGGTCTTGCAAGATCTTATCAGATTATCAGGGTATTGAAATTGGGTTGCGTATGACGTTTCGCATGGATTTTATACTGCTCTTCCTGCAGTTTGGTGGCTCAGGGGTTTTTCAAGAGTGTCCAATAAGGGCGAGGTGTACTCACTTAACTAGCTACTCAGTACATTTCATCACAAGATCGCAATCAAGAAACTATGACCAGGCCCTAATCTCGAAACATTAAGCCCCCAAGCCCTAGACCCTAAACCCGACTTGCAGTTGCGACGCTGCCGCGTTCTTCGGGTCAGCACGTCGCGGCGAGGGCGGCAGGTCTACCTGGTCGAAGTCCGCGTCCTGGCGGAGTTTGGGGTTTAGGGCTTAAGGGTTTACGGGAGCAGAGGTTTACCCCGGCTAAACAATCTGGCAAAGGGCTAGCCATCCAGTCCGACTTAAACCCCCAAACCCAAAACCCTAACCTTAAACTGTCAACCCTAACCCCTATAAACCCCAAAACCCTAAACCCTCAACCCAAAAAGCCCTAAACCCTGAGCCCTGAACCCCTAAACTCCAAAACCCCTAAACCCCCAAGCTTCAACCCCTAAACCCCAAAATCCTAAACTCCAAAAACCCCGCTAAACCCTCAATCCTAAAATGAGCCTTCTCCGCTGCTCGCTTCGCAATGTGCTTCCGCGCAAGCTTCCTAGGTTCAGAACCACTGGCACTAAACGTTTAGGGGCCTTGATAAGGGGATTAGCTTTTTTTGGTGGGTATCTTAAACCCTAAACCCTAAACTCCAAACCTTTATTATCTGATTATGATAACACGACTATGTACTCAGGCTTTCCCAGTAGTGCCACTTGAGTGGCACGGTATCCACCGGAAACAGGGTGCTGCAGTGAATCTATTCTGCAATCCATGCTTCACATACTACAACTGGTAATTGACATAACCCTAAACCCGTGTCAACATAATAGTTGTTTAGTAACCCCGATAGTAACCTTTAAACTTGAAAGGAATTTCGTTCTAATTATCTAGGCCGTGTGCCGTATGACGCTTAAGATCCCCAAATTGCACGGAGGGGATGTGGAAATACAGATCGAAACATTAAACAAGCGACAGAACAATCAATGTATATAATGTCACAATAGTAAAGGCAAAATGCTAAAAACAAAGTAAAGCCTAGCGTTCCCATGACGCCAGGCTTCTCCAAGCGTTCTGTCAGATGCACATTGCACAGAATTTCCTGCAGAGGGACTAAGGTTGGCGGGTGCAAGTCGAGAAGGGGTTAAGGGGTTAGGGTTTAGGGTTTTAGGGTTTAGGGTTTACGTTTAGGTACCAAGTTCGGGGTTTTTGGACCTCTGTTTGAGAAGCGGGGCTCTGTACAGCACCGGGCCCTAAACCTTGAATGCTGGGGTTGAACATTTTAGTTTTAGGGTTTGGGTTCTGGGAGGTATGGGGCTTAAGGTTTGGGAGCTAGGTGCCTCCGGCATCCCCTGCTCTTGAACAGCAGTGGGTTTAAACAGCTACTTCAGATATGCCGAAGCTGTGATCAACAGCCCGGTTACTTGGTTTTTCAGGCCATGAAGGCAAATAGCAAAAGCCTTCCAAAGCCTCGCTTTACGGCAGTACTAGTAACTAGTACTTAAAGGGTCATGGGACTTAGTAACTGGGGTTATAATTAGGGTAACTATACTTCTGATTACATATAACCCCATTTAGGGTACTTATACCCCTACTTACTAAGTCCCATGACCCTCCAAGTAAGCCATCCCGAAGCCCCCACCCCTAAAGCCTAAGCCCCAAACCCTGACCTACGGTCAAGGGAACCTAGAACCCTGGCCGTAGCCTAGTATGCGGGCCTGAGCAATTGGAAAAGGGTTTTCGGGGGTTTTTGATTGTAGATATAGTATGACGGGCTCCCAAAACCCTATTCTAATTATTAAGGCCCCTATATTAAACCCTTTCTGGTCCTCCCTAGGCAAGATAATCTTCCGGCCGTTCGGCTTCTTGCCAAGCCGGGCGCTGCTGGGAGGGGCCATGGCTAGCGCACCCTTTTTGTAATGGGGGGGGGGAGGAATTCAAGGGAAGTACGTAGGGGTATCTTCCCTGGGTGGATGTTTTGGTATAGGGATACCTTCTTTAAAGACTTTCTGGCAAGGAGCCTGCTCTTGGACGTCTCTGCTTGGCGTTTCTGCTTGTTCAGCTGCGGCTACAGCCTTTGATGCCTTCTTTTCGTGTCTCATGTCCCTGAACCTTAAAACTAAAGACCTGAACCCTAAACTTCATGCGACCTCGGGCTGCAACGGAGGGCTCTGAGTAGGGTCTTCGGACTTCAGGAGGGCTTGCGGTTTCTAGGGTCTTAACCTAGGATACCCAGTAACCTAGGAAAAAACAGGCCTCTCTTTTTGGTATTGGGTAACTTTATAAGGAACCTAGGACCACAAAAAGGGAATAAGAGTACTACTGGGCATCCTAGTAACGGTTTGGGGTTTAGGGTACAGGGCTTCTTGTGATTTTGGGATTTGTGGGGAGCCCTCCACCCTGGATCCCGTCTCTGGGCCAGACTGGAGCCGTGGCAGAGAATTTGTCGAACGAGCCGAGGATGTGCACCAAAAGCCCTGATGCTGCTGATGGACAAAATCCTGCATGACCCTAAGGACTCTAAGCTATGGGAACTATGGTATATTCCTCATAATGGGTAATGCAGGATTTTGTCCATCAGCAGTAGTGTCATACGAAACCCCAAACCCTGAATTGCTGCAAAGTCAGCTGGGACAGAACCCGTCGAATGTAGGAGTCTTGGTCATGGGAGTAGGTTTTGGGGTAAATTATACTGAAACAGTCTATAAGCCGACTGCATAGGGCAGCTATTCGACTGTGAGGTTCCCACTATGCTATTTACGGAGCCCCTGCGCCGTATCACTCCGCAGCCCAAACCAATACCATCCGCCCTTTGCCTCGAAGACCTTCTTAACCATAGCCGACCAAATAAAATCATTACTTAATACCTGCTAAGCGCTTAGAGCTTCTGGTTTACATTGGTGGGATATGTATGTTTTTGCTCTATATATATCTATATATATATATATGCAGCATGATGCACACCTGGAGATCATATAGTATTTTGGGGTGTATATGAGTTTTGGGTACTTGGACCCGTGGGATACAACCTAAACGGCATGAGCTTCTACAGCCCTCCA